CTAGGAGTTTGGCCAAGGATCAAATGAAGCACTCCAATGGCACCCAAGTGGGCTAATCAGAAGAAGGAAAACCTTGTAACGACTACAAGGGACGGAGAGTGAGTCAAGGAGTCAGTCAACAGTTTGAAATAAAAGAAAAATGAGGAAAAAACACAGCGCACTAAATTGCCATTTTTCCTACGCTTCCTGCATTTTCACAAACAGAGGGGGTTTGGGGGGGAAAAGCGTATAAAATGAAGTGGAAAAAACGTAAACTATGAAGACAACACACAGACACAGAGATCATGCATATGTATTCGCAGATATCGCTGTGTCTCTGCTCTGTAGGTTTTTCGCTTTTTATTTGTTTTCTGTTGTTATTACGACTCCATTGCGTTTAGATGGAGATTAAGTCGCTGCCCCTGCCCCTGCCCCTCACCCCTTTTCCACCGCCCACAGAAGCCGCCTCTACAGAAACCCACAGATTCAGCAACTCATTCCTTTTGATACCCCTTGATGGAGGATTTGTGGGGTGTTTTGGGTTTGGTGGAAAATAAAATAAAAGAGTTGTTACTGAAAATCAAAATATCGAATTTTTTGTATACAAATATGAATAAGTTTTGTTTTTTAATCTTAATCTTTAATTTTCTGATTGTAACCGGAAATTTGTGGGTTTCGTTTATAAATTCGTAGGTATTATTTTGTATTATTCTTTTTTTAAATCGGGTATTAATACTTTGAAAACTGAATAAGTCAAACAATTTAAATAAAACTCTTGGATTTTATAAAGCAAATATCTCTCAGAGAGAGAGCCTAATAAAAACTCTCTCGTTCGCTACATTTTAAACCAAGAACACTTAAGAAAAGATCTTTTTGAAAAGCAAGCACTCTCAAGAAAGCAAAAATGTAGAGAATAGAAACCCCCTATGTTCTATAATACCGGGTATTTGATAGTCTTTACAATTGAATATAAAATATATATACCTACTTGTTTTTCGTTACATTTTTCTCAGCTCTCCTGCTCCTCTGCTGTTGTTATTTTTTGCAATTTTTTGCTTTATGAGCAGTTTATTTGCTCTCCAAGTGTGTGTGTGTGTGTGCCAGTTCCAGGCTGTGTGTGTGTGTGTGCCATGGGCCATATCCATATAGGATGCCCAGATAGCAAGGGGCAACTCTGCACCAACATTTGTTTATGATTTTAGTAACAAATGAAAACTGTGCAAAAAAAGAAAGCGGAAAATATTGTATATTACCAGAGCGAGAGAGGGCTTGACTATTATATTGCTTTTGTGGGAATGCCAGGAGCTCCACACCTTCCCCTGCTCCTGCTCTTCCGCTGAGTGCCGCCCGAGTGGGAGTGTGGTTTTATTAGTCACTGTCACTGCGAGCTGGCTGCGCTCTATAGTTGCTCCCCAAAGAGCCATCGAGCAAAACGATGCTGATGCCGCGCCGATGTGTGTTTCCTGATAAGCGGTACGGCATGGCATGGTAATTTCTCCGCCTTTTTTTTTAGCTTTGTCTCTGGGCTGTTATTGTCGAAAATGTTGAAGCGAAAATGTATTAAAAACACAGGCATATCAGTGTGTGAGATGATTCACATACAAGCTCACCTAGCTAGGGATGTCACGCTTTTGAAGGGTTTTGTTTTTAAATTGAATTCTCTGGTAAAGTAATACAAAGTAGTGGGATTATTTATTTATTATTTATTTTTTAAATAAATTAGTACAGCGTTTAAAGCAGCTTCTAGCTTGACTAAATCTCCTCGGCTGTTGATGCTTATTTAGAATATTAAAGATCCCGTAAATTTAACTAAGTCCAAATATATTGTTTTGGTTCTACTTTTAAGAACAAGCTTAAACAAAAATTTAACAGAGCCAGAAAATTTTCTCGTTGAACTTTTAAGATGATTTGCTTGTGCATGGCAGGCAATCCTAGAAGGGAGAGAGAGAGTGCGATAGAGATTGTTACTGTACTACTTTAAATACACTCACACTGTTTTATTAATAATAAAGAATACCTAATAATTAATAAAAATAAATTATTATAGTAATTAACATATAAAAATGTTGTAATTATTAATTTTTTTTTTATTTTTTATAATTTCATAAAAAAAAATAAAACTCAAATATATATTTTATATGCATAAAATATATCAAATATATATATAAAGGCCGCCCAATAATAAATAATAAAAAACAATAATTACAGTAAAATTTATTCCTTTTGATAAATTCATAAAAAAAGAATACACATATATAAACACCAAAATTATTATAAAAAATATTTGCTTAACTAATTATGAAAAAATAAAATAAAATGTGATAATAATTTATTTAATTTAGTAATAAATATTCAAAATAATGAGAGCGCTCGACAACCCTGGCTCAGCTAAAAACACACGCCTCAAAGTAAGCAAAACCAAAAACGAAAAATATGTTCAGCACCAATAAAAACAGCACCAGAACACACCACACACACAAAACAAAAGCACATAAAAGAAAATTGACTGCGAAAATGTGAAACTCTTCATTTGACATCAACCTATAAATGCCATTGTCCTGTCATAACAGTGTTTCTTATTTTACATTTTTATTTTTTATTTAAATGAGCATCTTGGGGCTTGGGTTACCAATATCCAATTGGTTTTTATATTTGCGAAAATATTTAACGTTTGACAAATGAATTTTTGTTCAGCAGAGTTTGGAAATCATACTTTTCTCTCTCAGAGACTCCAGCCTCCTTTAAGCCTTGTCACGCTTCTGCCACATCAAAAGTGGCATTCATTAGCTTTATGCCCATGCCGTCGAGGTTTATGGGTTTTTTCCTAACCCCACCTCCTTTAGCACCAGTGTATGTATGATTTTTAAGCCTCATTGTGAAGGCCCAAAGGTGTTGTTAGTGTTGTGTGCGAGCACACACAGCTCGAGCATAATTTCTAATTAACTTTTTGCTCGAGGTGAGCTACGACGACGACGACGACGATGCGTGGGCAGCGTTAGATCTGGGATCCGCAGTTCCCAGTTCCCTTTAGCACGTCATCATAAAAATGTTTTCCAACACATTTATGCGACGCCTCTTGGGGCAATAAGGAGCGGGGGGGTGTGTGGGGGGAAAATGCGTAACAAATGAAGCAGGGAAAGCTGGAAAAGCTGGGGAAATGTGTAACGAATACCATGGCGGTGCTCAGTGCTTGGGAATGGTTGTAAAAACAGCAGCCAGGACAACGTTGTGCCACCTGTAAGCTCTCTACCCTCCCCCTTGCATTCTTCATCATCTGCCTGTTGTTGTTGTTTTTATGCGTTAAGTCATTAAAATGAAAATTTATTATGCGCACCCCTCAAAGTACGGGGGTAGTAGAAGAAAAAAAACACAAGATGAAGGACAACCAACGGGCGACGAAGACCGCCTATGCGGCGTATACGTAACGTAGCGTCAGGCAACTGGCATATATATCTCATTAAGCCTCGGCCTCGGAATGCTGCTGCTGCTGTTGCTCCTTCTGCCTTCTGCCATAATGAAGCCAATAAAGCTTTTTATCTGGCAGACAACGTGATTTATTTATATGCCTGAGAAATTATACCCCAAAAGCCGCCTTTGATTCCAAATCCATGTGAAGGCGGAGAGCGAAAGAGGATAACAAGAAACCCACATAACTTGAACCGCTCATTAAGGTAACTCTCAGAATTTACGATGCAACAATAATATTCGAGGGTTTTCGTTTAAAGATTAGAGAAAGTTGCATAAACAAAAATATTAATAATTAAGGGGTACTTTGAAAAACAAGTTAAAAGATATTTAATCTTTAAAACATTTATGAAATATTTAATTAAATGTAAATTTTTGACTTGAAGGTACAGATATTTAAGCAAATTAAATAAAAATACTTCAAGGAAATTAAAAATTAAATCAGGGGTTCATGGCTGAATGTGAAAATCTCTTATCAACGGATTCTCTGAATCCCGCGATGGCTTCCGAAGAAGCATCCGGTCCAAGTTGGTTTTGATAAGAGCTATTTATAACGATGATCGTACTCTCTGCGTGCTCGATTATATATATTTCCCAAGGAGGGAAAAAAATATCCCGTCATGTGGAACATTAAGACCACACAATGTTTTATTGACAACAAAAAGTAGCCAAAACTGTTAACTTTAAAAATGTTTCCCAAATTTAATTTGGATACAAAAAGTTAATGATTAGGAAGAAACCAAAGACCACAATTTTAGACAACAATTTGTATTATAATCTGCTAGTTTTATTTTAGTTTTTGGGTGTACATGATTTAATAATATTTAACTTTTTATTCTCAAGTTTCGTTTTTCAAGAATTCAGTTGCATTCAAAATACCGAATTCCAAACCAAATTTCCTCAAATAAATTATTTTACTTTTATTAATAATCCAAACTCGAGGCTGAAACCAAAAGCTTAGATATTGCTGAAAAGTTAGAAAGACTCTTATTTTTAGTAAATTATGGTCAAGGTATTATTATTTTGAAATATATCTTTATTTAAAATTATAATTGTGAATTTAGCTTAGTTTCATTGTCCGCCTTTTTTTTTTTTTTTTTTTTTGGAAAAAAAAATAATGAAATTTTATTTGACTAGTGCACTGATACCTAGATATTTGGCAACTAAACCTAATTGGAAGTTAATTCTATGTTTACAATGCTTTGTTATGGAGGAGTATTAAGTTAAGTTATGTTTACATAATTTGAAATGATTTTCATGTTTTGTCTGATATTTTATGTCAAGATCCTGTCGGGGAGGTCTTGAGGGTGGTGACGTTTAAGTCTTCTCCTGACTCGTGTTCTGTGTTCAGCGGTGGCTAATCTTCTAGCCAGACTATTAGGGTGATTGTTAAGTTTTTCCATGTACTTAGTTGAAATAGTGTGAAGTTTGTCTCCAAGCTTGGGCAAATAAATATTGCTGAAAAGTAAGGAAGACCCCCCTTTTTTAATAAATTAATTGTAAGGAGTTATTATTTTAAAATATAACTTTATTTTAAACGATAAATACGAATTTTACTAAGTTTCATTGTCCGCCTGGCAAATAAAATAAGCTTCATTTGATTCATTACAATCGTAGTCCCCCATTATGCCCTCAGCCAAATAAGCGCAGTTCTCCTTATGGTTTCTGTCGCTTGGTTCTCCCGCAGCCCACTTTAAAAATGGTGCTGGCTTGTACGAGGCCACAGATACGAAGTGCCCCTCATTATCTCGGTCATTAATGCCTAGCCAATATAACCAAACAAGAAGTTTTGGTGTAATGGCGTTGATTTCATCTTCATTGCGAAAGGAGGCTAAGTAACCTCCCATCTCACGACACCTTCTCTCAGCAGTCTCCCAATCCACAAATTCATTTACAATTCTAAAATATCTGTTACCGATTAACTCGAATCCAGGTGGTATGCTAATCGTGGATAAAGCCGGGACTACCACCTTGGGTACATCTATCTTGTTCTGGACTAACTCCAGTTGATTTAGAACCGCCTGAAGTTGGTTTTCAATTTTTCCCTGTACCGCAAGGAGACTTTCGCCCAGTTTAGCCTCCAGTTTGGTTTGCCCCTCCTGTAGTTGTCTTTCCAGCTTATTTTCCACTCCTTGTAGTTGTCCTTCCAGCTTGGCATGCACCTCCTGAAGAAGCTTGGCCTGCACTTCTCCAATTTTCACCTCCAATGTCTCCAGCTTCGATTTGATTTCGTTGTCAGATTCACGGGTGTTCGTGTTCCCTTGATTCTGGGCCTGCACGACGTCGTTTAACAGAGATCGTAGTTCAGGGACACAAATGCTATCGGGACTCGTATCGTTAAATGGGAACATTAAGCCAGGTCGAAGGCTGGTCGCCAAGGATCCATTCCATAGAGTGCAGGCAGCCAGCGCCCAAAGGATGATGGTACCGAAGCTTTGCATCCTTCTACTGGTAGATTGCAAGACCGTGGAAGTTGAAAGTCTCTGGTGAACTAATTCAAGAATTCTTCGAAGACTTTCGAAGAGCCTTCTGGCTTCGGATGGGATTGATAAAGGTTTTATATATGTAGATAAATATATAAAGAAGTCGGCACTCCCTGTGCTCATGATGGTATATGGGCATTTCCACAGAAAGGTCAACCGCGGCCAAAACACTAAAACTTCTCTAAAAATTTTTTTTTCCAACATAGTAACATTAGGAAAAGGCCAATTGATTAAATTTGAAGAGCTTTACCATATTCTAAAACAAATTTCGAAATATTCGAATGCATATTCGCGCAAACACGATTTTTCATTATTTTGATGAAAAACATCATAAAAATGGACCTGTTTTCTTTTGTTAATTACATCCAAACCGAGGCATTATGCTTTGACTGTTGTTTACTAACATCACTAGAAGAATGCAAAAAGTCTAAATAAAATAGATATATGCTCTTCCAATTTACTTATAATAGTTAAAATTACATGCAAAGTATGATGAAAAAATATGTCGCGTGCGACATGTCGCGTGCGAATATGATTAAAATTAAATAAAAAATAAACTACGCTATATTTTTGCGTGTAAATTAAAGCATATGAAAGTGACATTATTGCATCATATTTTAAAATTTGTTTCGTTAAATTAGTCCCTGCCGTTTCGTTGAAATCAGTGTTTAAACAGCTCGCCGCGAAAGTGACTTCTGTTTTTGTCGCGTGCGAATCCTTCAGTTTTTTTTAATTTTCTTAAAATTGAGCAAACTCTCAAAATCAACATTTGCACCAATTATAGTCCTAGACAAGAGCTATAAGTTAACATTTATAAAAATAAAAAAAATTGATGTACCATACTTTTTTTTTTATTTGAATGCGTACGAATGTCGCGTGCGACATTATGGAAATGCCCATATGTAAAATATGTATGGACTTCTGTAGGAGGAGTATATACCATATAGTAAATATAAAAACGTATACACTACACGAAATAATTATTGATTATGACATTATTTAAGCCGCGTGACGTAAATCAGGGGTTCATGGGCATCTTATTAACGGATTCCCGAAAACACGAGATGGCTTCCGAAGAAGCATCTGGTCAAAATTGGAATTGATAAGAGCTATTTAAAACGCTGACTGTATATACATACATACATATATATTTCCCAAGGAGAAGCAAGTAGCATATATATACTGAAAAAAATGTAGCGTCATGCGCAACATAAAAGCCATGATTTAAAAAAAAAAAAAGTAAATAAAAAATAAATAAAAGATTTGTACAAATTCTGCACATTTGTATAAGTGAAAGAAACTGATAAGAAAGAAAACTACATTTTGTTGTTTTATTTAATTTGTAATTACTCAAGATTTAACTCTATAATCTCAAGGTTAATTTTTCAAGTATTCAGTTGGATTCAAAATTCCGAAAATTTCTGAAAAGTAAGAAAGACTCTTATTTTTAGTCAATTATTGTCAAGGTATTATTATTTTAAAATACAACTTTATTAAAAACGATAAATAAAAATTTTGCTAAGTTTCATTGTCCGCCTGGCAAATAAAAAGCGAAGAAACATTACAATCGGTGTCCCACATTTTGCCATCATACAAATTTACGCAATTCTCCTCATGATATAAGTCGCTTGGTTGTTCCTCTTTCCACTTTAAAAATGGTGCTGGCTTGTGCGAGGCCACAGATACGAAGTGGCCCTCATTATCGCGATCATTAATGCCTAGCCAGTAAGCCGGCCAATCAAGTTTTGGTGTAATGGCGTTGATTTCTTCTTCATTTCGAAAGGAGGCTAAGTAACCTCCCATCTTACGACATCTTCTCTCAGCAGTCTCCCAATCTACGAGTTCATTTACAATTATAAAATATCTGGTTTCGATTAGCTCAAAACCTGATGGAATTGTAATCGTGGATGAAGCCGGAACTTCCGCCTTGGGTGCTTGTTGGGGTACGGCCGTCTTATTCGATTTTGCCTGTAATTGACTCCCCTCGGCAGCATCTTTCTTGTCGTTCGACATTGCCTGCAGTTGATTTACAACCGCCTGATGTTGGGCTTCAAGCTTTGTCTGAACCGCAAGAAGGCTTGCTTCGAGTTTGGCTTGGAAGTCCTCTAACTTTGTAAGTATCACCTGTTGTCCTTCCAGCTTGGTCTTTACCGCCAGAAGACTGTCATCCAGTTTAGCCTCCATCTTGGTTTGTTGACTCTCCAGTTTGGTTTCCACTCCTTGTAGTTGTCCTTCCAGCTTGGTATACACCTCCAGAGGTAGCTTGGCCTGCACTTCTTCTATTTTCAGCTCTAATCTCTCCAGCTTCGATTTGATTTCGTTGGCAGCATTACGGGTGTTCGTATTTCCTTTGTTTTGGGCCTTGACAACTTTGTTAAGCCGTGGGCTTAGTTCAGTCAGACAGTAGCTGTCGCATTGATTTTGTTTTGGATCGTCAATGAGGCATATGTAACCCGACTGGTCCTTCGCGAAGGATCCTTGCCACAGGATACAGGCAGCCAGAACCCAAAGACAGAAGAAGGTTCCGAAATTGTGCATTTTTTACTGGAAGATGTTAAGACCGCGGTAGATGAAAGTCTCTAAAGAACTAATTTTCGAATTATTCAAAGACTTTCGAAGAGGCATCGAGCTTAGGCTGGGATTGATAAGAGAGCTTTTTATGAAGATGACGACACAGTCTGTCCACGCATTTCCCAATTTCCGTGTGTATAAATATGTACAAACAAACAGATAGATAGTATATTCCAGGCCACTAGTTAATTCGAGACGCGGAAATATTGTCCGGCTTCGGCTCGTCGGCTATCAGGATGATGGTCTTCCTCAAATATCGGAATGCCTACTTATAATAGTCGAGAGAAATTCGTGTGCAATAATCGGGGATAGAGCCACTTACGGGAAATGTCATTCCATTTGGATTGATCTCCCCTCTTCACCTCTTTTGATGTTCTGGAGGTTCTGGTCTTTCCCAACCTACCAATGGCCACTTCTACCCTCTTCGCTAAATAGCCTGAGCGATCCCATTTCATAAATGCTACCCTACATGAAGAAACAATGCCAGCTGTGCTCACTTTTATTTGTTTGACCTTATACATATATATATTAATTCTTTTTGAAATTCGCATTTAGCAAAAAAAAGTAAAGCTTGTAGCTAAGAGATTTGTTTAAGCAGCGTGACGTAAAACAGAGGTTCAAGAGTGAAGGTGAAAGTCTCTTATCAACGAATTCGATTCCCAAAATCACGCGATGGCTTCCAAAGAAAAATCCGATCCAAGTTGGGATTGATAAGAGCTATTTATAACGATGACCGCAATCTCTGGGTGCTCTTTTTTTCTAAGGAGAAGTACCTAAGTAGCATATATACACTGAAAAAAATGTCCCGTCATGTTGAACATTAAGACCATACAATGTTTTATTGACAACAAAATTTAGCCAGAACTGTAAAATTCAGCTAATTGTTTTAATTTATATTTTAGGTGTACGTGAGTACATAAATGTAGAGGTGATTCTCCAATATCGTATGAAACATTTTTACTTTTGTACAACATTTGCGTTCAAAATAAAGGAAACTGACAAGAAGAAAAGCTATCTTTTGTTGTTTGGTTTTATTTTTATTTACTCAAGATTTAACTTTTTATTCTCAAGTTTCGTTTTGAAGGATTCATTTGGATTCAGAATACCGTATTTCAAGACATTTTCCTGTTAATAAATAATTTAAATTTTAATAATAATCTAAGCTCGATGATTGAACCAGAGGATCATAAAATCCTTGTAAAACAAACTTGTATCAAATAAATATAGCTGAAAAGTAATGAAGACCCCCCTTTTTTAATAAATGAATTGTAAGGAGTTATAATTTTAAAATATATCTTTATTTAAAACAATAAATGTGAATGTTGCTAAATTTCATTGTCCGCCTGGCAAATAAAATATAAGTTACCACTGCAGGCGTCGTCCCACATTCTGCCACCAACCAAAAAGACGCAGTTCTCCACATGACCTTTGTCGTTTGGTTCATCCTCATCCCACTTTAAAAATGGTGCTGGCTTTTGTGAGGCCACAGATACAAAGTGTCCCTCATTCTCTTGATCATTAATGCCTAGCCAAAACATCCCATTACCTATGCTATTAATTAGTTTTAGTCTAATAGCGTTAAACTCTTCTTCATTTTGAAAGGAGGCTAAGTAACCTCCCATCTCACGACACCTTCTCTCAGCAGTCTCCCAATTCTCTTCTTCAATTACAATTCTAAAATATCTGTTGCCGATTAGCTCGAATCCAGGTGGTATACTAATCGTGGATAAAGCCGGGACTACGACCTTGGGTACATCTATTTTGTTCTGGACTAACTGCAGTTGATTTAGAACCGCCTGAAGTTGGTTTTCAATATTTCCCTGTACCGCAAGGAGCTTTTCACCCAGTTTAGCCTCCAGTTTGGTTTGCCCCTCCTGTAGTTGTTTTTCTAGACCTTGTAGTCGTCCTTCCAGCTTATTTTCCACTCCTTGTAGTTGTCCTTCCAGCTTAAAATGCACCTCCTGAAGTTGGCTTTTCACGTCCAGTGCCTTCAGCTTCGATTTGATTTCGTTGACAGCATCGCAGACGTTCCCTTGGTTCTGGGTCTGCACAACGTCGTTTAACAGAGATCGTAGTTCAGGGAGACAAATGCTATCGGACTGATTGGGACTCATATCGTCAAGTAGGAATATATAGCCAGACCGAAGGCTCGACGCCAAGGATCCATTCCATAGAGTGCAGGCGGCCAGCGCCCAAAGGAAGAAGATCCCAAAGTTGCGCATCCTTTTACCAGGAGATTGTAAGACCGGGAAAGTTAAAAGTCTCTGGTGAACTGACTCTCGAATTATTCAAAGACTTTCGAAGAGGCATCTGGCTTCGGCTGGGATTGATAAGAGCTTTATATACATACACAAATATATAGAGAAGATGGCACTCTCTGTGCTCGTGGAGGTCTACGCAAAATATGTATGGACTTATGTAGGAGGAGTAAATAGTAAATATAAAAAATTATACACAACAAAAAAAATCATTGATTAAGACTTTATTTATTTCTCTTGATTAAATAGCTATTTGAATGAATCTTTGCAGATAGATTTCTTTATATTGCAGTGAGTATAGAAGTCGGAAGGGGCTAGATCGAACGACTATATCATATACAAAGCTGCCATAAGAATTTTGGTTATATTTTATACAAATCGAACCCAAATGCCATATAACAACCATAGGAACGATCGGAGTCCCGAAGCTAGCTTCATTTCTAGATTTAAAATTTGATTGCCTAAAAAATTATATTCATATAAATATAAAAAATTGTTTTTAAGAGAAAACATACAAAATTCCAAACAAAATTGACGTATTATTATTATTATTATTATTTGTTTAGCTGAAAAAGGTGTAGTTTGTAGCTAAGAGCTCTGTATAAGCAGCGTGACGTAAATGAGGGGTTCATGGGTGAAGGTGAAAGTCTCTTATCGAGGGATTCCCGAAAACATGCGATGGCTTCCGAAGCAGCAGCCGGCCAAAATTGGAATTGATAAGAGCTATTTTTGACGCTGACCGCATTCTATGTAATTCTATTTATGATTCTTAGGTACTTCTGCTTCTATGTGTATATAATAGAAGCAGAAGTACCTAAGAATCATAAATACACTGCAAAAAGTACCCCTCTGTGTGGAACTATGAAGACAATACGTTGTTTAAAAAGAAGATTGAACTGTTATTCAAGAAAATAATTACCGATTGGGATTTGTTTGCAATTAATTATTGGTTTTAAAGGACCTTAATTGTGTTATGTGTATTAATAATTAAGTCTTTAGAAAATTCTCAATAAATAATATAATTGTATTCGGCTCGCTTTCATTAATTTTTTCGGAGTGTACACGAGTACATACATGTTTACTAAAAAAAAACTTTTTTACTATATTTTTTTTTTTTAATCAGGATTTACCCAAGATTTAATTGATTAAATAAATTTCATGCATTACAATCCAAATTCGATGATTAAACCAGAAGCCCAAATAATTCTGCTCAAGCCTTTATCAAATAAATATTGCTGAAATGTCAGGAAGACCCTTTTTTTGTTAGTAAGTTATAAGCAAGGGTATTATTATTTTAAAATATTACTTTATTTATAACAATAAATGCGAGTTATACTAAGTTTCTTTGTCCGCCTGGCAAATAAAATAAACGGCATCTGTTTTACAATCGATGTCACTCATTTCGCCATTATACCAATAGACGCAGTTTTGCTCATGGTTTGTGTCGTCTGGTTCTCCCCTAGCCCACTTTAAAAATGGTGCTGGCTTTTGTGAGGCCACAGATACGTAGTGGCCCTCATTCTCTTGATCATTAATGCCTAGCCAATAGTCATAATCACCATGTCTTGGTCTAATGGCATTACTTTCTTCTTCATTTCGAAAGGAGGCTAAGTAACCTCCCATCTCACGACATCTTCTCTCAGCAGTCTCCCAATTCACTTCTTCTTTTACAATTTGAAAATATCTGGTACCGATTAGCTCAAAACCAGATTGTATTGTAATCGCATGGACTGCCACCTTTGCAGCATCCATTTTGTTCGACATTGCCTGCAGTTGATTAACAACCGCCTGAAGTTGGTTCTCAAGCTTTGCCTGAACCGCAAGAAGGCTTCCTTCGAGTTTTGCTTGGGAGACCTTCAACTTGGTCAGTACCACCTGTTGTCCTTCCAGCTTGGTCTTCACCGCAAGCAGACTGTCTTCTAGTTTGGCCTCCATATTGGCATGTTGGCCCTCCAGTTTGCTTTGCACCTCCTGAAGTAGCTTGTCCTGCGTTTTTTCTATTTTCACCTCCAATCTCTCCAGCTTTTTGTTTCCTTCGTTCTGGGCTTTGACGACTTCGCTAAGCCGTGAGCTCAGTTCTGTCAGACAAATGCTGTCGTATTGATTTTGTTTTGGATCCTCAATTAGGCAAATGTAACCCGACTGGCCCTTCGCGAAGAATCCTTGCCACAGGATACACGCGGCCAGCGCCCAAATGAAGAGGATACCAAAGTTATGCATCCTTTTACTAGGAAACTGTAATACCGCAGAAGTTGAATGTGTTTTGTGAACTGATTCCCAAATTACTCAAAGTCTTTCGAAGAGGCATCGAGCTTAGGCTGGGATTGATAAGAGCTATGTACAAAGACGACGGAACTCTATGTGCTGGTAATGTACGTATGTTTTCAAATTTCTGTGTGCATAGAATTAGAGGTCGTATACGACAACAAAATTTGGAATTCTTCTATGAAATCTCTCCATTCGTTGAATGGAATACGGCAGCTAATATATGTATAAAACAAAATAGATCAGATAGGAGGCCTGTAATACATATGGACATGGTTAAATCCACTCTGCTGGTAAGGCTGATCAAAAATAAATACTGTATAAGGTCGGAGATACCTTCTAATGACTTTTAAATATTTACAGTCTTGCTTGGCGCTAAACTATTATACCCATCTGTACTCATTTATATTTATAGGGTATACAAATCTAATCTAAAAGCAAGTAAATGACTTTAGTAAGCAGTAGCAAGCAACTTTGGCCGTATGTTCTCCGCTCTCATTAAACTTGGCTCCAGGATAACTAATAGCAATTACATGTTGCCCCCAGCGGAAGTCCTTAATTTGTCAATCCCTGTGTGTGTGTATGGGTGTGCGTGTGCAAGCCAACTATCACGAGCAAGTTTGTCAAGTGAAATTTATGCGAGAGCAGTAATTGAAGCGGAAATCCACAAGCAGCACTAGCAGAAAAGAGGGAGCTGAATCTAATAATTTACTTTATTTGCACCTTTGAAGAGTCGCCCTTCCCTTCTACCCGATAGCAGCTGTGGGCAAAAACTTTTACACGTACACATGCCATCAGCGAAATGGAAAAAGTTTCGCTTTCTCTCACAGGAAAAGTGCGGGAAGAGCCTCGATTTCCTGCTCATCAAGGCGAGCAAATTAAGAAAATTATCATGCATCGTTCCTAGGCGACGCATCCATCTCTGTTCCGTTCAGCCCAGAATCCAATTAAACATAAAAATAAAATAAATTGTGACATTTTCCAATTAGCGGAGCTTCGAATAGTTGCTGGGAGGGGTGGGGGTTAGAAAGAAAGATGAGCCTGCTGACAACATGTGTCATGCCTCCTCTGTGGGTCCTTGACTCCCATACCAATCCTGTCAAGACAAATGCCGGCACCGAGATGTCTATCGCCTGGGAATCGCAGGGCTGGGAGTCCCGGTTGGATTTGGGGGGTACAAGCACCCGAAGATGGGGCTTCTGAGGTCGAGGAGGGGGCTAATTAATGGCATCACAAGCCCAACAACAGTAACAAATAGAAATTAGACAGTACTCGAAATTGTAATACCCATTATAATTAAATTTTAGACGGGAAAAATTAGTTTTAAATTATTTAGAAATAAAGTAGGCATTTTTTATATTAATTTAAATTGTAATTAAATATTTATGTTTTTAAAAATCTCCACAAAGTTATTCAGATTATGAAAAAGGCTTATTTTAAAAAAGAAAAACTAGACTCAGACAAAAAAGATCGATATATCTATAAAAAAAGATATATTTTAATATTAATCGTTGCAATAAATCGTTATTTTCTTAAATATATTGGTTACATTTTTAAATATTTTTTTTAATAATTTAAAAAAAAACTTCCTATACTGTTACGATATTTTTCTATATTTAAAATTTTTATAATATTTATTTATACAATTTCACAAGATTTTTTAAAATAATTCTGATAACGATATTGTTTGTTATATTTAAATATATAAATCGAACAATCTAAAGCTGTTCCGAGGTCTAATATACCCAGGAACTTGAGCCTCTACTAGATCAGCACAAGAGATCTAAAGAGCTGGCGGCAAGCGACGTTCTCATCGGTCCAACTAGCTGCAAATTACAAATGAGTTCGACACAAGAGATACAACACCCAGACACATACACAAGAAGAAAGATTCGAATGTGAAAATAATTGCCAAAAATAACAGTGAATTTATTTATGCTTGACTACTTCAGCTGCGACTGCGGCAATTGGCACTGGCACTGGCACTGAGTTTTTATGATTTTGGCCAGAGACGACTCCAGCTCCAGCTCCATCTCCAGCTCCATCTCCAGCTCCATCTCCATCTCCAGTTCTCTAAATGAGCAAAAACACATAAAAATGTTGAGCAATTTCTCTCTGCGGCCGGCTGGCTCATCCATGTCCTTTGGCATCCTTTTGCCTTTGGTCGCTTTTGCTTTGCTTTCTTGCAATTTGCAACTAATTGCTACAAATTAATTTTAGTATGCTTTTAATGGCATTTTGAATGTGGCCAAGAGACGAAACGACGAGTGGCTTCCCCGGACACAATGAAGCTCTTTTGTCCGAAAAAAGCAAAAGGGATTTTTGCGGCTTGCCTTTTGCTGTCTTTGCCTTGGCTTGGATTTAATGAGCTGCGACAATCGTCATCGTCCTGGCCAAGATGGATCAAGGGTCCAGAGCAAGAGGAGCAGCAAGGGGCAACTGCCAACAATGGAGCGCATTTAGTTGACAGGCCCAGAGACACGCCCCGAAAATCCTTAGCCTTCATTTCTTGTCTTTCGAAGCGAAAGTTTTTCAAGAAAAAATAAATTCCAAACTTAACTCAAAAGAAAGGGCCGCCATGAAGGAAGCACTGTGCGTGCTCATTAGATCACCATTGTGCTGCATCCGAAGGGGTTTTCTGGCTTCCGGAGTCGCTGGCACTTCCCGGTCACGCCTTCCGCCTTCCGCCTCCCTCCCACATCAATTTGTCGTCGTGTCAACAGCAAAACTAATTTATTTACGAGCCTCTCTCTCTCTCGCTCTCTTTGAACCCCCTGATTATTCATACGCACTTGTGGCCCGACCCCTGGTGTAGCCTCCTGTCTGCATCCTGGTTCCCAGCATCCTGCCTCTGTTGACTTTCATTAGCTCAAATTACGCAAAAGTACTCGAGCGTCGCACGCATAAATCAGACGGCAAATCAAATTCACTTGCAGATGCACTCCGCACACTCCACACAGTCTGCTGCAGTCTCATCCTGGTCGGTTTCCAATGGTTGGCAGCCCATAAATGGTGACCCCGATACACGGACCATTGGATGGTTACCAACTCTCATAGTTATATGTGCACGGAGAGGAAAATTTTGGTGTTGAGAATTGTATTTAATTGTTAAAATATAGTTTGGTATATTTATTTGAAAAGAAAAAGGGACTAAGGGACTAACTAATAAAAAATCGACAAAGAGACTTACGAAGAGGAGGATACTTTTCTTAAAAGGATTATATCTTAAATATTCTTTATTTTTCCTAAAGTGTAAAATCTCTTAATTATTTATTAAATCACCTGCTCTTTTCTCGCACTGCACCTTTCTATCTGTCACGAACTCAATGCGGTAGCCACGCCCTGGTCATGTCGATGCCGCCGCCTGTGTTTGGTTTACGTGCTTAAATTGGCAATTAGCAGATTAATTGTCACTGCCAATATATATGCGTCAATATTTTGTGCGCAACCGACAGATGCAGAATGCAGTTGCAGTAGCAGTTGCAGTTGCCATCCACTACCACGTCCTCCTCCTTCGATCCTTTCACGTATGAACGTAGTTTACTTTACGGCCGCTGTGTTGTTTACACAATTGTTGCTCTGTTGCTCTGCTGCCTGGTTGCTGCCCGGCTGATGTTTGATTTCACTAACGAGCATTAGCATAAATTGCTTCAGTATATCGAAGGGACAGGACACAACGGCACTGCGGCCATATGCCACACTCGATGCGTTTGTGTGCATCATTTAGCAACTTGCCATCAACGACGAGCCTGTCACTATTTTCGGGGAAATGTTCCGCCCCCTCCCCTCCCCTTGGAACATTGTGCAGTCAATCAATTGTAAATTTTTAATGAGTTTTCATTCTGCCATCGACATGTGGACATCATCGACCTGACAGTGGAGTAGCAGCAACAGCAGCAGCAGCTGACCGCCATGGGTTTTGTGGAATGTGGTCATTCCCTCTCCTCCCTGACTAAGCAATTTGTCACACTAATTAGCTGCTGCCTCCGATGGTCCTGCTGCTGCTGCTGCGGTTGCCCACTAGATGACCCTATCCATGGGGGGTCATGTCACAAATATTGCGCATACGCCACCGCCTGGGATAAGCGATGCAAATTGGTTTGTAAATGAGCAAAGCGATGACCAAGCGGGGAATTTTCATCAATAAGTTGGGAGTTAGCAGGTCATCGGGAGGAACGTAACCATCAAGAAGATAATAAATATTGAAAAGGATATGCAAGTCAAAGGGAGTCCTTTGGGGATTATAATTTTCTGCTTCAAAAATGTGTAACTGTGCTCTTGTTGAGAAGCCAATAAATATTTATATGATAAATATATGTCTTTTATATATAGACATAAATAAAATAGTTAGTTCTAAGCTACTCTCTTTGATAAATTTAAGGTTTTACAATATTTATAAAAGACCTTTCAGTAAATGTTTTTCCACAAAAACACTCTCAACGCGTTCATTCAATGACTCCTAAACAGGAATGCTCTTAATTTGACTCACTTATCTTTTTTTTTTAAGGAGAATATTTTTCTTACTGAGCAACTTGCTCTACTTGCTCTCCATTGCTTCTTGTCTCCGAGTTTTTGGCCGCAATAATTTCACACAAAATATTTCCGCAACACATCGTCAATGGCAGGTCCTTTCCGAGGATGAAGATGCCGTGCCGTTGCTTCTCCTGCATTTCACTTGACTTCACGTCCTCATCTCCAGCTGCAACTTATCATTTTATAAGCATTTGTTTTTTCAACCCCTTCTTTCTGTTTCTTGTCTCTGTCTCTTGTTTTTGTTTTCATTTCCTCCTTGCTGTTGTTTTTTCTTTCGATGCTGCAACATAACAAAATATTTTGTTGCATTTTGCTGGCTCTGGCCAGCATCCTTTGCCCCTCGAGCGAGCACTTTATGTGACAGATACTTTAAAATGTGGCAAAGTGGTTTTTGGCCAGCATTCAGCTCTCGAAGCTTGGAGCCTCGCAGCTCGCAGGTCGCAGCTCTCTGGCCACATGCGAGTGCCACTCTCGTTGTCGTCGAGTGTCATTCCAAGGCGGAATTAATGCAAAATTATGTGCCACGTAAACTAATTTTTATAAGGGCTTGACCCTGGGCAACAGCCCCTTTTCTGGCCTACGATTTACGAGCTCTCGCACTTGCCGCAATCCTTTTCATAACATTCGGCGACCGTTTTATTGCCCCGTTTGCTGCCACTTAGGAGTGCCAAAAAAAAAAACACCCAAAAATACCGCGTGGCACATTAAAATGTTGCCCAAGCCACCGCCTCCGTCTGTTCTCCTTTTCAGAGCCCTCAATACACTGTAAAAAGGGTAGAAATATTTATTTTAAAAATATGGAAATGGTAGTTATGGTATAAATTTAATAATTTGAGGTAAACCTTTTAGGATATCGTGGTTTTTTTTCTAACAATACGTAAATTTTTCAAAAAATTCTCGGATTCTACAAAAATCTCTTGAGTTCTTGGAAGAGTTCAAAAGTTAGTCAAAAATTATGTTATTACTTATTATAAATTAATTTTTACAGGTAATTTCTTACCAAAAAAAGTTTATAGCATACTTTTAGAGACCTTCGCAAGGGTTTTTAAAACCCTAGAAATTTTATAAAATTTAATCTTAGCCTTGCTCTATCTTAAAGTTATTTATTTTATTTCAAGTGCAGCCGGTTGTTGTTCAAGTTGAAATTTATATTAAGCCAACAAAGTCGCTTGGCGAAAAATGGGTATGCCAGCGGAGGAAAGCTGGCCAGGATTGGGTATAGGGATGGCAGAGCAGGGCCTCGGAAGGAGGGCTGTGCCTTTGGCGATGGCGCCTGCTCTCAAGTGCTCATAAATTCACGAAAATTTCACAGCCGCCGACGGACCAAACAAAATAAAAAGCGACGAGGACGACGACGACAGGAGCGGAGGGGTGGCGCGTCAGCTGTTGCAGCCCTTGGCCAGCAGCAGCAGGAGCAGCAGCACACACTCGACTTTGGTTTGGCAACATAAATTGTTAAAGAATTGCCACTTTGCAGTCGTAAGGAGCACATAAGCCGGCCAAATAAAAACCCTTTTCACCCTTTCGGTCAATGCCAGCGGGAGGATGGAAGGCAATGGGAGCAATCAGTCGCAGGACCTCGGATTGTATGTCATAAAAATGTCATCTGCGGGAATGGCTGACAAAAGAGAGAGCAGTGAAATGGAGGCTAGTCCACCGATTCTTTGTCATCATTATGGCAGCCAATTTGTACTCAATAAAAGCGCCACTCGACCATGATGAGGGAGCGAGTCCTGCCAATTGGTTTCCATCAAAATGTAACATGTCTCTGCCACTCCATTGAAGGATGCTGCAATTTTCGGTGCCATGTGGTTGTGTGTTATCTGTGTTCAAGTCCAAGCCCGTATCCGTCTCCATCTCCGTCTCCGCCTCTGTCCCTGTACCCCAAAGTCCTTGCATGTAAAGGACCGTGATTTATAAGCGCTTTGCCGGCGATAACAGACGGAGGCAGGTCCCGGGCCACGCCCACGGACAAACAATGGCAAAGTGGATGCAGGACACATGCAAATTCCTCGGACACTGGCCGCAGCCACAGGCCGCAGCCGCCTTCTTTCAATTTTCCTTGCACGGGGTTTTGCGGTGGCTTTTCCGGCAGGCTCTTTCGAATTTTTATCTCAAGTTTCGTTGACAATAAAAATGGGAATAGGAAAAGGAATAGGAATGGGAACGAGGCACCAGAAACCGCACAAAATGCCCAGCTTTCAGCCGATGCCCCGGTCCCATATCATTAATTTTGCAAAAAAAAAAAAAGAGGAACTGAACAAAACGTCCTTATTGCCAAGTGCAGAATTGCAGAAGAGAAGGGAGGAGGAGATTCGACCGACAAATAAATAAGGAAAGCAGCCGGACTTTGTTGTGCATTGGCAGCTCTGCGGTTGGAATGGCTTTTGGGCTCTTGCAGAGAGAGAAATAATTGCGTCTTTCTTATTTTATTTAATTTATTTTTTTTTATAATTTCTAAATCAAAGAAATTTTTGCGTTTCTTTAAATATTACCCGATCTTATGAAAAAAATTTCCTAATATCAAATAACAAAAAAATAAAATATTAAATAAATTTGTATATATTTTTAAGACTTGAAAAAAGTCAAGTTAAGCAAGAATAGACTTGCCGGAATTTTTTTGATCGATAACATAATTAATATTCTTTATTAAATTCTATATTAACAAACAAAATATTTGTATTTGATCACAGTGTACTAGGGTTTTGGGGACGAAACTGGGCTTGACCTCAAATCTGAAAGGAGATGGGGCCTGCAAGCACGTTCACGTTCGACATTTCGTTGGGAGGGTTATGCTGCGTTGGGGTTTTCCTGCCAAATTGAAATTGTTTTGCCTAAACAACGGAAGCTATAGGAGCAGCGACAGAGAAAGGAAATAAAGCAGGAGACCATAAAGACAAATTGACAGATATATGGGAAATATATACATATATTTTACTACCCTTCATTTTCCTCGACGTGTTTCCCCCCTTTTAAATCGTAATTTTTTTAAATTTTTTTTTAAATTTTAAAATTTAATTAAAACTGAAAGAAAAGATAAAAACTAAACTGCTTTACTTACCGTTACTAAACTGCTTTGCAAGCAGTACAACCAGCCTTGCCACACTTCCCAAAAAATTACAATACAACTGTGGTGAGTAAGGTGTTTGCCACCTTTTGCGAAAAGCCCACAAAAGCTCATCCTGGTGAGCTTTGATTTTGAATTCACTTTGCCATTATTGTATAAAATATTCGATTTAGTTAAATATTTGGCAAACATATAGTAGAGCACCGGAACAACCAAGAATACAAGAATAATTATGGACCCGACTGGCCAAACACCTGACAACTCTTACATAAATAACCAGCACATATTTCGCATGACCAGTATCGGCGCACCGAGCCGCTTTCAGTGTTGCATTAGCAAGGATTGTAGGTTTCACAGGGATACCTTTCAGGACTCCTCATACTACAACTTACTGTTTCCCATACAGACTATAGTGAACATGCCAACTTGCTGGAATCACTGCACATCACGCCACGCGTCATTATCCAAAAAAAGCGCCTCAGGATCAACTACACCTATGGCATGACGCTGAATATCCGAAACAGTGGATTGGTAAGATCATCAACTCGATGAACTTAATTGGATCATTCAATAGCTGTCCCCCCCAGTACCCACGCCTCGTCCAACTGAGCACGGATAGTCCAACCGACACATTCATTTCAATACCTGAAATGGACCTCAACCGCTATTTGGAAACCGACCAGAACCTGGAGGTGAAAATCTGGATACGGGCCTCTTCTAAGCGGGAGATCAACAGGCGCCGCCACATCTTTGTGGAGTGCTTTCACCCGAACATCATCTTTCAAGTGCCCATTGTTGGTAATCAAAGTGAGAGATTAAAATGACAAACAGGGCTTATGATTCTCCTGCTTCGTAGTACTTGGCAAGGATACAAATCCCACGGTCAGCGAATCGGTAGTCTTTCCCAGCTGCGTGCCCGGCAACAAGACCTTTTTCGAGTTGATTGTCTATAATCCCTCCAAAGACAGTGTGCGCCTGCGCTACAGAAAGTGAGTAAAGTGAATAGTCGAGGAGTCCTGTAGGATTCATGCCTTTTTGTAGCACCAATCGCGGCCTGGAGATCAGCACGGGCAACAAGGAACTACTGCCGCCGCAGGACTATCTCAAAATGCTGCTGGCCATTCAGCCGAGGAAACTGCAAGTGTACAAGGGCTTCTTCAACTTGAAATTCGGAATGTGTAGGTGCCCACGATTATCTCTTAGATCCTTGACAATCCCATCTCCATCGCAGTGCCTCCCAAGCCGGTGATGTTTACCTTTACACCCAAGTCCATGTCTGTGCATTTAAGCCTTGGCTGCGTGACCTTTCCCGTGACCAAGTTCGGTCGCGAGTCCTGTCGATCAGTGACGGTGTGCAATGAGGGCTTGGAAGATGTGGTCGTTACCGGGCAACTCTTCAAGGAGGCAACCACCGACACACAGGATGAAAGCTACGAGTCGGCCTCTGATGACATCAATGAAAAGCTAATCAGCGACGCCGTCAGTATGCGAAGTGTCCTGATCTACGACTTTGAGGAGGAGTCTGCCGTCCAGGAGGTTACCTACGACCCCAAGGCGAGTAGCCACTTTGAGTTCATACTGCCCAACCGCATCGGAGGCAACTCCTCCGCCGAAATTAAGCTGTGCTTCCGTCCCACCTACGACGTTCATCAGCTGTTTCCCAATGACATGGAACCGCCGTACATTCAGCGAACCCGAGCCACCTTTTGCTTTGCCAACGACGAGGATTGTATCGAGTCGTACATCGTTGTGCTCTCGGGCGGTATTGGTGGCATAGAAATGGAGGTCCATCCGAAGGTGGTTGACTTCCGGAAGATCTACTTGGGCGAGGAGCACTGTGCCCAGATAAAGTTCCTCAACATTGATTGTGAGGATATGGGATAATTGTGATATATATGGGATAACTGAAGTGTCCTTTCATAGCCGTTCCCGCCAGAGTGAATTATGTAGACTGTTCGAAGCCAGAGCTGGCTGGGATACGCATTACGCCTGTCGAGGGCTTCCTGCTGGACCCCTGTACCCGCGGTATCTTTAATCTGTCCTTCTACTCCCTGGAACCGTCTCGCTTCTCGCTGCAACTGCGCTTCAAGGTGGGGAATGGAACCCATTATGAAGTGGAGTTAAGGTAGTAACCGTTAATTGGTCTTCTTTAATCCAAACACTTATACTCCTTCCTAAGAGGCACGGGACAGCCAGTGCAGCTGCGCACCTTCCCCAGCCTGGTGGAGTTTGGGAGCATACCCGTTGCCGTTCCCCAAAAGCGTTACATGCTCCTGCTGAACCCCCTTGCCGTACCCATAACCCTACAAGTGAAGCCCACCGAGGATGGGACAGAGACACCGCTGGTGCTCAACATACGTGACTCCACCGAGTTGCTGCCCATCACGGTGCGCGATCCCATAAAGCATCTGCAGCAAGTCCACGAGGAATTGGTCCAGCCGCTAGAGTTTGGATCGATTGACCTAACGGAGGAAGAACCGGAGGTCAAGTCCATAAAGTCCGTCGAGACGAAGTTGTCTGTATACAGCCAGGACTTTGAGGAGGAAGTGATGGGTGAGTCACTGGAATGTGACCTAGAAAATGTAAAATAAAAGCATGTCCTTTCCCTCCCTTGCCTTTGCAGAACCTATTCCCGTCATGGCCGCTCAACTTTTAAGCAATCTAAAAAAGAAAAAGATCTTCGACAAGTCAGAGTCGGATCGGCGCATCATTCAGGAGGCACTGATTGGTTTGCTCCACACCAAATACTTCTCGGTCTTTACCAAGCACAACAACTTTGTTTTTATGGACTGGAACGCTTTGCCCAGTGATCCCCAGGAGGTTTATTGCGACAACGAAATCATTTACCTTCGTCCGAACACCGGGCGCACCATTACCATCCTAGTGGTGCCCAATAGACCGGGCTATTATCATCGATCCCTGTCGGTGCGAATCTGTCCCGCTCTTCCGTCGTGTTCCCCTGAATCGAGTGATGATCAGCCGATCATGAAGACCCTGATCAAGTCGGAGTTCCTGTGCTCTAAGCTTTGGTTCGAGTATAATTGTGTTGTCCCGGATATTGAGTGGTCTAACATTATAGATCTGTCGGAATATACAGTCTATGCTGGCGAGGAGTACGAGTTCAATATGGAGTTTAAGAACCGTTCCATAGTTGGTGCCTTTCTTCACTATGAAGTGGTTGTGAGTATGGTTAAGCCTAGCTAGATTTGCGAGGATACTTAAAGCTATACGAATACAGCCCAACGGTATGACATTTCGCGATGGAGTCTGGAAGTTTTATATTGATTCGGGAGCCTTTATCATTGCCAAATGCGCTGTGGCCTTTCGCTCGCTGGGCAACACTCGGCTGATGGGTTTGGTTAAGGTTGTGGGCGCCAATCGACCGTACCCCTTCCATTTGGTAGCCCACGTTCTGCCCACAGAGATCCGGATCACGCCGATGTCCATTAATCGGCGGCTGCAGGTTTACGAAGAGCACAAGCAGCACTTTTATATTGACAATTACACGCCCACGCACACTATGCTGAGCATAAGATTGGTGAGGATTACAAGAGGTCCTAGAATCCCTAGATAATTAATCTCGCTTTTAGAAAGATTCAGAATTCCAATATCTGACATCGAGAGGCGGAGCCTTGTCTCCCACCGGCCAGAGCATGTACACCACCTTGGTGTCGATGTTCACCGATCCGGATATCTACCAGAACACCCTGTTCATTGATCTGCAATTCGACAATGTGATCATGGTGCCCATTACGTTTCGGGTGGAGGGAGTGCCTCTGTACTTTGAGCCCAACATACGCGAAGGATTCGATGCCGGTCTGCTGTACACAGACACCAAGGAGCAGTTCCAGAATGGCATCTTCACGCATCGCTTTCCCGTGAGGGTAATCAACAAAGGATTTCGGGCCTATCGCATCCTTATTATTCGACTGAATTCCATTGGCCCGGGAACCGATCCAAATCCCGCCCCCTGCTCCACTCACGGCCTGACGGCGCGCTTTGACATGGAACCGAAAAACCTATACTTGGATCCCAACAGCGAGACGCGGTTGGACATTGTGGCTAGCTCGTACGTAGAGGGTCATGCCACCGGGGACTTTTTGCTGCAGGTCGTCGACCAGAAGTATCCCACAAGCAAGCACATTATCCGGGTTAGTGTTCAGGCCGAGTTCGTGGAGTGCCAGCTGCTGTGGAGTCCCAAGCAGGTTAATTACATAATTTATTCAACACTTTAACTTTGTTTTTAAAGCTATAACTTTAGTTAAACTTCAACTACAAACGCTGTGATCCTCTGAGGGAGCGTTCCTATGAGGAAACTCCACTTCTGATCAATCCCTGCGCCGTGCCCATCGACAGGGTAATGCTACAGGTGGCGGGTCCCTTCAGGATTAAGGAGTTCTACGAGGACACCTACGAAAAGGAATTGATGATCCCTGTGGCTGGCTGCGAACGAAAGGAAATCTTTGTGATCTTGAACAGGGCAGCTGTAAAGAATCTCTCCTGTCGCCACATCGAAGGCAAGATTAACGTTATGGCACGAGGCATACAACTCAAGAGTCTACCCTTGCGTGTGTCCGTCAAGGTGCCGGATGTGGTGATCCTCCAGCCCGAACTGGTGCTTTTCGATCGGGGCAAGCCCTACGAGAGTAGCATCAATCTCATTAACCAAGGCTGTGCCCCGGCCGAGTTCAAGTGGAAGCGTCATTTCACCAAAGAGGTATATGTAGGCGACGAGGATGATCCAGCTGGCATTGCCAGCGATATCCTGTCGGAGATTCTGCGCATGCTGGAGTACAATTTCAGTTGTGCCGACGAGCCCAATATGACAAAGAGGTACCAGAAGTGCCGCTGTCAGTTCAAGCGCTTCGTGGAGGACGGCGATATGATTGTGGAAATCATAGACGAGGTCATCAACGATCTGGACCTAAGCCACCGCCCCCTGCTTTACCAGCCAAAGGAGCAAAACGATCCCGAAGAGGACAGAGACCAGAGCACTTCGAGCTTGGTGCGGGAAACATTGGACGACATCCTAGCCAGACTCCACATTGATTCGAGTGAGGAGTGGTCGGAACCCTCCTCCGAGTACTGCTTTGCCAGTCGATACATCTATTTCCACGAGAAACGGGGCACCGTCAACGTTGTGGACATGCAGCCCGGCGATCTACAATGTAAGCTACACCTGCCCCACATTCGACGTAATCACGAGATGCAAGCCTTCTTTGAGCTGGCCATTGTGGGCGGGCGAAGTCAGTTTCTGACCGTCACGCTGGTCAATCTTCCGCAGAAGATTAAGTTCCACAAGGACAGTAACTACATGGGAATTAAGGTGAGTTAGAGGCAAACTGAAGGAACAAGTGAACCATATGGTATCCTTATCCCCCTCAGCCCTGGTACGAGTCCTTCGAGGCTGTGGTTCGTGTCTCCAATGTAACCAACTATCCTCTCAAACTGGTCCTAGTGGAAATTAAGCCCAAGCCACTAAAATCTCCCCCAGCGCTACCCTCGCTATTGGAGAAGCGCCTGGTTGAGGGCTACTGCAAGCTAATAACCAGCGACTTAATGCATCTGGATCCCTTGAAAATGGATCAGATCCGGGTGAGGGGAATCTTGGGCTTCAGCGAGAGCTTCCGGCACACCTTCGGAGCCATGATCAACAACAGCGACTCCAGCGAGTTCTGTTTGCGAGGTCAGGGCGTGATGCCCATGCTGGACATGACCACTCCACTGCCCTCCATCCCCATGGACCCCGCTGAGCTGGAGGAGGAGTACCGCCTGCTGCAGCGCATCTACCAATACGAGATTTTCCGCAGTATCACCGAGGTGGTGGAGGAGGAGCTGATGCCCGCTAATATGGGTGAGGAGGAAGGGAACCAGATGGAGGATAAGCCCACACCGCGCTCCGAAGACTTCAGCCTGCTGTCATTCAGTGAGGAGGACATGCCCTCGGAGCAGCAGGCCCGGCACGATCTGCAGCTCTTCCGCATGGTGAAAACGTACGTGATGGTGAACAACAACCAGGACCTGCCCCACGCAACGGTCCTGCGTCAACTACTCCTCGCCGAGCGCTACCTGCTACGTATTCGAACAAAGCCAGAGCTCTATGCCCTCCACCAGCAGGTCTACCAGAGCCACCTAAAGCTGCACAAGGCCCCTGGCTATAAGCAGCCCTCGTTGGTCAAGCACTTCACCGTCCAGCCCATTCCCTGTGAGCAGCACGGCTTCATTCTGGACCTGGGCTCCCTGCCGCGTAACTCGCTGCGCCGCTTCGAGCTCAAGCTCCACTTCTTCGGGCCCGGCAAGCTCATCGCCGCCGCACGGACAGCGGTGAGGATACCGGGGTTGTTTGTGGACTTTAAGGTGGCAGCGGCAGCACAGCAGTAAGTGAAAAATAGGAAAGTGGGAAAAATTGTTATTTGATTCATTGTTTATTAGCTTTTTTAGATTTTTAATATTTTATTTAAACATATGTATACATTTTTAATATTTAAAATATTTAAAAAACACGTATATCCAAGGCCAAGTGTAGATTAATCACCATCTACCTCCTCGCAGCGCCACCAAAAAGTTCTCCTTTTGGTCTGAAAAGTGCAACTCCCTAGAATACTTCAAGGACAAGTACAGGAATATGTTCGAGCGCCTGATGGATGCCGAAAAGGATCCCAAGCTGAAGCATGCCCACTCGTTCGACCTGGACAAAATGGTCAAGCATCAGCGCGATTTGACGCCCAAAGACCGTCGCCTGATCGAGGAATACTACAACAGTTTGAATCCCTCGGTTTATCCTGATCACAAGCATCACTTCACCCTGGCCAAGATCTTCTCCGGCTCCATGTCCAACTACTCGGGAGTGGATCTAACCATCGTGGGTTTCTTTAAGCCCGAAACGCAATTCTATGAGAATAATCAGCTCGTAGAGGATTACATATTCATCGATGTGAGTGGTTTTTCAGTAGGAAATCGTTTTAAACTCAACTCGAACTCATCTCCACAGTTGCACATGGGTCCGACGTTGCCCATCTTGCTGAGAGGCGTTATTGCATCCTAAAAGAAGTCTGTTTTAAAGTGGTTAACAAGCTGGTTTATTGTGTGGTTTTGTGGTCTTAAGTAGAATTAGTAATAAAGCTTCCAAAGGGGAGAAACCCTCAGCAGTACATGTTCAGCTGGCGGAAAAAGTAGTGAAAGATGAGCAGGACTAAGAACGAGCTGGTCACTGGCAAACCGGCCGCCTTAATCCAACCCAAAATGTTGAAGTCATCCGGATAGAACTCAAACTGTTCGGTGGGTATTTCGCCGCAGTTGGAGATGACCACCGGCTCCAGGGGGAAGTCATCGGTGTCCGTTTTGACCTTAATGAGGGGAAAATTCTAGGATTAATATAGGAATTATTTATGGGCTTATTCCATATACTCACATCCTCGATGGCATAGATGGTGTCCATTCCCTCGAGAACCTTTCCAAAGACCGTGTGCTTGCCGTCCAGCCACTTGGCACCCACAGTGGTCACATAAAACTGACAGCCATTCGTGTCTGGTCCCCGATTGGCCATGCCCAGATAGCCCGGCCTATTGTGCTCCACGGCCAGGGCCTTGTCCTCATCCGGGAAGTACTCTCCGTAGATACTAACCGAGCCAGTGCCATCGCCGTTAAGGATGTCGCCGCCCTGCACTAGAAACCGATCTACCACGCGATGAAACCGGGCTCCTACATAGCTGGTTCCGTTGATCCCTCGCAGGCAGATGTGCCGGAAATTGGCCACCGCCTTGGGCGCCAACTTGCCAAACAGTCCAAAGGTAATTCTGCCCACCGGCTGCTTGTTGTGCTTCACATCCATGTAGATCCGGGAGGTTACCGTGAAGCTCAGCCCGCTGACTAGGGTGAGCAGGTAAGAGGAGCAGTAGCAGAGGATTATAGCGGTATTGAGGAACTTCATAGTCCTGGCTTTCGGTCTCGACTCGCTGATGAAATGTACAGAACTGAAACAAAGACTGCGCGAGTCTCTTGTTTGGGAATTACAGAATTGGGGGAAAATAGTGAATTCGAATTCTGGGTCGGAAGCCCTAGAAGGTGGCAGGTTAAGTGCAAGCACCGCATGATGACATACTACAAATCGATTTTAAGACACTGGCTTGGACAGGGACACTGATTTTTTGGAACTTTTTGTTGAGTTTTATATTTAGAAGAAAAAAAAATTTTTTTTTTTAATTACCAATTGTTCAAAAAAGATTTAAAAAAAATATTTTCGAATGACGAGATTACTTTTGAGAATATTTAATTTGTAATAGTTTTTAATGAATATGAATAATAGACTTCAAAGCTATTTAATTTTTTAAACCACAATTTTTTTAATAAACCCAATTTAAATAAAAAAAAAATAAAAATTGTGTTTAAATGGTTTAATTAAAATTTTTGTTTTTAAATTTTTATTTGTGTTTTTGGTGATTTTATGTACATAACAGCTTCTAGGCACCTCTGTTTAAGACCTAAAACTATGTTATTTTATGTTTACAAATATACAATTCTTTATAGTTTACTTTTATTATTCTATTTATTATATATTTTCCATTTTAATGTATGCATATAGTAATTATGCACAGAAAAGGGCTTTATTAAATATTCAATTGTTGTTCAAGTATTTCCAAAGTAAATTTAAATTTAAATTTTTTTTTGAAAATTTCTCAATTTTTTTTTTTTTAAATTAAGTTTTTTTTTAAGTTTTTTAGATATATTAAAAGTACGTGAAATTTTCTGAATTTTTTTTAGAAATATTAAAAATAGTTGATCATTTCTTAGGTTTTTTTGAAATATTAAAAATACTTGAAATTTTCTCAAGTTTTTATTAATATTAATATTAAAAATGCCTAAACATTTCTCATTTTGTTGTTTTAAATATTAAAAAAAGAATTTCTTTAAAATTAATTTATTAACTTATATATTTATAAATGTAAAATATATACAAAAAAAGTACCTAAAATGCAGGGGATAAATCCCCTCCCCCTTTTTTCTTGTTAGAAAATGTACAGCATATTTTGTTTTTGCTTTAGAAAATTCATCATATGACTTGGTCTTTAATATTGAGTATTTATGCGCTTAGGAATAACACATATATCTACATAGCTAAACCATAATATAATTAACGTTAATAATAATAGCAATAATGAGCCTTCTCTTGTATAAGTACAAATCACCTCCTCTTGTCTGGGCTTAACTAAATGCGATAACCTTAGCCTAAACAACTTAACAACTTGTGAATTAATAGCTCCGGCTTTGCTGCCTCTCTCTCTCTACAGACACATATATACCAGATACATATACATTTAAATATATAAATTCTATATATTATTATACAAAAAACTAACTAACGACGGCTAACCTGGGTACAGTCTTGGTGGTGGCAGGATCTGGGGCTCCTCCAGTTCGCCTGAGATCTCTCATTTTGTTTTATACAGCTGAATCTTCTGCAGAAGATTCGGGCGACGTGTCCTACATGCGCTTCTTCTGCGGATGCACATACTTGCAGTTCTTGCCCATGTTGCAGTGTCCGCGCATGAAGGCCTTGCACACGCCGTTGCCGCCGCCGCCTCCGACGTTGCCTCGATTATTGGGGCCGCCGCCAGAACCTGCTGACCGCCAGTTGCCGCCCGAATTGTCCTGGAAATTATTGCCGCCGCTGCGCCAGTTTCCGCCGACACCTCCTCCTCCATTGTTCTTGTTGTTTCGATTGTTGTTTATGTTATTCCTGTTTTGCATGGGTCCTCCGGGTCCCATTCCATTGGGCGGGCCATTCATCATGGGTCCCGGTCCCATTCCCGGACCCGGTCCCATGCCCGGTCCCGGTCCCATTCCTGGGCCCGGTCCTGGCCCGTTCATCATCATGGGCGGGAATTGGTTAAAGCCAGGCGGGGGACCACCTCCGAAGGGCGGCACTGGACTGCCAAACTGATTGCCCATAAAGTTCTGAGGCGGCGGCATATTCATATTATTGTTCATATTCATATTATTCATATCCATGCCCGGTCCATTCATCATGGGTGGCCCAGCTGGCGGTGGACCCACCATTGGATTTTGCCAGATCTGTGGCGGTCCATTGGGCACGGGCATGCCAGGAGGAGGACCACCGGCGCCTCGCATACAAATGAAGGGATCAAAGGGATTGGGTGGCATCATATTTGGTGGTGGCATCATCGTGTTCATGTTATTCTCGCCGACAAAACCCATATCCGACGGTCCGCCGGTGGGTATGTTTGTTCCGTTTACGATTCCAGGTGCAGCCATGCCATAACCCTTGGGTTCGGGCCAAGGCTGGTTGCTGTAATCGTTGACCGCATCGGGATTACCGGTCAGATCATCGATGGGTATCACAGGAATGTCATGGGCAAAATGCGGCTCCAGTTCCGCCTCCGCGGCGCTGTCCGGTATCATGTCCGGCGAGAAGTACAGGGCTCGAAGGGTGGTGGCCTCGCGATCGGCCTGCACTTGGCGCTGCTTTGACAAATTGCCATTGGGATGATCGGGCACATTGTCCACCTCGATGAGGGGTCGCCATTCCATCTGCGGCTCCATGGTGTCATCGAATCCACGCCTGGCAATGGTCAAGGCATCGCGTTCGCTGAATCGCTCCATATTCTTCATCTCGTTGAAGCTCTGCTTGGTCACGTTCACGCGCTCCGAGTGATCGACCTCGAAGTAACGGATCTGTGTGAGCTTGTCCTCCGGCTTCCAGGTCAGCTTCTTCTTGGGCCCCTTGCGGCGATGCACCACGAGAACGCCGGGTGGACCGTCCGGTCCACAGCCGGGTCCGGGCTTCTTTGGCTCTGGTGGCGTATCATCAGCATCATCGGATGCATTTCCTGCATCACCCGATGCCGAAGCCGCTTCCTTCTCCTTCACCTTCTGCTCGATATGCTCTTTGACGCGCTTGAGGGGAATGTCATCATCATCGCCATCGCCATCGGCATCGGTGTCCTTGCCCTCGTCATTCTCCTTGGTGCTATCGTCCGACTTATCGTCGCTCTTTGACTCGTCCAGCGTGTCCTGGTAAAACTTGAGCGGTGCCAGCGGCGCATCCTTCTCCGTGGGCGATGTGGCTGACAAGACACGCTTTCGCTTCACCGTCTTCTTTGGCTCAATGGAGGCGGCCAAGGCGTCCGAGAATAGATTGGTCTCCACCAGGGTTGAAACTGTAAAATGGGGAAGGTCACAAAAATTAGCAAGTTGTTAAATTAAATTAAATTAAGAGGTATTTGATTTGGGTGGGTTTGTGGGTTTTCAAGGTCCTTTGGTGGTTTTTGCTTTTACTGGAAGAGAGAGAAAAAAACCCAATCCATTCTAGAGAAAAACTAGTACTAGGAGAACCCCCATACCTTTACTCTTTAACTTGCGTTATTAACTAAATTAATAAATAACTAAGCTGATGTCCTTGGGGGTTATTAAAACTTAAAATAAATATTATATACTATTTCTAAATATTTTAAAGAAAAATTTAAAGCAAAAATCTTAAAAATAAAAGTAAAGAACTGCATAAAGTAGAAAAAGTATAGTCTTCACTTATAAAGTCAAGGATTTTAATTAATTTTGAAGGTAATTGTAGTAAGTCATCAATTTTTTACAGGTTCTAACATGTCAGGTCGTGTTTTTCTAAGAAATCAGCATTTTTTGGACTTATTTTTCCATTTTCTCAACATTTTTCAAATTTTTTAAATCTTTTGATACGGTGTCTTGTAATTTTTAATGTATTTTAGTTTTTAAAGTTTATTCCTTTCGTTTTTGCTATGAGTTTTAAGTTTAAACAACAGTTAACAAATTCTAACTAGTCAGGTCCCGATCTTTTTCTATGGATATGCTGCTCTCACAATTTATTTTTTAAGTAAATTCTAAAAAAGCAAGGCTTAAATCATTATAAAAATAGAAAAGAAAATGAAACATTAAAATTCTTGTAAAAAAAAATACTCCAAATATAAACACAAAATATAAACAACGGCAATCTTAGATATATGCGATCAGCTACCTGCCGCAGGTATGACGCATCATCCCACCCGCAGATGCATTTATCCGTGGGTGGAGGGGAGGACCACATGGACGGTGGGGTTGTTCCTTATCTATATAAGCGACTCCCCACTGTTACAGGCAAACAAGACCAAGCTTGGTTTGTGATCATCAAAACAGCGCTGGGTTGCATGGGGAAGGCATGGACCCACTACCAAAAACGTCTGCAGAGAACCGCCAGTTCCAAGTCAATATTATGGTTTTCTTTTTTGGTTTTTCATTTCGCTCAATATGCTTTCCTTTTATTTTCAATAGAAAAATCGTATTTTTCTAGAGTATATTTTTATCGTATTTTATTTGCAAGTTTGGGTTAGCTTTCTGGGCCGAGTTCATCAATCTACATACCTTAAAAAGCTTAAGCTAAGCAAAGATTAGGTTGAATACTTAACACACCAAGCGGCGGACGCCTCACACTCAGCGCATGCGCAGTGACCAGGTCTCCGGGACACCTTCAACATCATTATCTTCCTCATCATCATCATCATAATTATCCGGGGGCGCAGCACCTTCTCTCATCTCCGCAAATCGCAATTAATTTGATATAGCCCCCCCCGATTCTTAACCCCAAAGCCCAAAAAACAAATTAAACCACCGTGCAGCGGCACAGACCTTGCCTCGCTTACGATAGATATAAAGGGATCACACAACGAAATAATACAGAATATATACGAGATACTGACTCCGATTCCACACACACAAAAAAGCAAAAACCACCAAAGATCCTGAAACAAGAACAAGAAAAAGAGATCGTTAATAGGGTTTCTCATAATCAAATGCTTACTCTTTTTGGGCGCGATCAGCTTGGCTGCTCCCGGCCGCTCCACATGGCCCGCCACTGTGCTCATATCGATCTTGGGCTTCTTCTCCGCCGGCGAATCCCCCCGGCTGGGCGGTGGCGATGGTCGCTTCATGGCCGGAACAACGGGTAGAGTTGTGGCTGCCAGCGACGTCGTCGAAGGCGTTGATGTAGGCTTCTTTAGGCCCTTTCGCGAGGGTGGAGGCGGTGCCTCTTCCGTTAGGCCGTGAGAACGAAACTTGGACTGGTATGTCTTGACGGTGGAGGCCTTCTCCGTGTCCCGTCGAATCTCTATCGAAATGGAGGCCTTTCTGGACATAATGGGAATGGATCTGGGCTTCTGTGCCTCGCTCTCCTTGGTCGCCGTCGCAGGCGAGGAAGCAGCTGGCGTCGCTGTGGGCGGCGGCATCAGCTTGTTGTCCTTGTCCCTCTCCTGCTTCGAGGATGAAGAGGACGAGGACGAGGACGACTTGTCCTTGCGATCCTTGGACGAACTATAACCAGAGCTCGACGTAGAAGAGGAGGACGACGACGATGAAGAGGACTTTGAGGATTTGTGTTTATTCGAGGAGGAAGAGGACGACGAAGAACCGCTGCGCTCCTTATCCTTGCTCGAACTGGAGCTGGAGGAGCTAGAGCGAGCCTTGTCCTTATCTTTATCTCTGCTGTGCTTATCGCTCGAGCTGCGATGCGAGGAGGAGGAGGAGGAAGAGCTCTTGGAGGAAGAGCTCTTCGAAGAGGAGGAAGATGACGACGAAGACGACTTATGGCTAGACGACGAAGACCTGTGGCTCGAGGAGGACCTCTCTTTTTATCCTTCTCACGCTCCTTCTCAGAGGAACGTTTACTCTTGTCGCTCTTGGAGCTCCTACTATGCTTCTTATTATCATGAACGTCCTCGCCGGACTTAACCTCCGACGCCGCCGTTGAACTACTATCATCTAAACTGGAACTGGACTTTTTGCCCAGCACGGCCGTGTCCAGGGGATCCCTCTCCGGCTCCCCGTCATTGTGCATTGCCGCCTCGGCAGCCTCGTCATCGTCCTCAGGGTCATGGTTTAGCTTGTCAGCCGACTTCCACTTGATGGTTATGCTATTCGAGTTGCTATTCCTGGGCGCCGAGGTGATGGTGTACGTCACTGGGGTCCCCGCACTGTCCGTGCTGTCGTTGGAGGATGCCGAATCGTGAACTGGAGGTATACCGCCAGCACCAGTGGAGGAGGAGGAGGTAGAGTCGCCACCAGAAGCTGCTGATGGAGTGCCGACAGCAATCTGAGGTGCCGAGGGCTGAGCAGCTATCAAGATCGCCGACCCGCACGAGTTCTCGGTCACAATCTTCAGCCACTGCTCGACCAGCCGCTTGGCCAGAATGCGAACACCTGGAAAGTGGGCCGAACGAAACAAGGTAATTAGTGATCCTTTCACAGGTAAGCGAAAACAAGAAAGAGGGACCGCTTAAGCAGGTAGAGCGTTGAAACAGGATTAAACAGGACTCGGAGAAACTTACCTTCATTGCCGCCATCCTTGCACAGACCCTTGACCAAGATCGGTGCAGAGTTGATCTTCAGCCGGTTGACATCCACCGGGGAAAGGAGCAGCAGCTCGAGGATTTCCTGGACCAGTGGCCAGTTCATAGCCCGGATGGCATCGTTTAGCCAGGTGTAGACCAGCGACCAGCCGCCCACGGACATGAAGTCCCCGAGTAGCTCCGTCTTTGTAGATTTCAATATTTGTACATAAACGCATTTGGAAACTAGTTTTTTGGAATATTTGGCCATCAATCTTGTGGAGAGAAAAATAGAAAATCGGAAAAATGGTTAGTTAGTTTAAGCCGCAAGAGGGCGCTTGTGTAAACTCACCCCGAAATGCGCTTTACTTCCTGGGCACTTAAAATGCCGCCGTTGTCGTCCAACAGCACCCGAAGGCACCGAAGCAACTGCAGTGGTACTATCCGCGGCTAAATTAAAAACACAAACATAATTCCCGGGTTAGTCAACGAACGAAATTTAATTTTAATTATTTTCACAAACTCACCATTCTCTTTTCCTTTGGATTTTTTCCGTGTGAAAAAAGCAAAGGGTGGCAACGCTGGGTGCCTTGTCCAATGCCCTATCGTCGTCTCGCTTCCACACGAGCAGATTTCACCATGCACGCATGTGTTTGTATGTACGTGCGTGACTTTTGTTTGTGTGTGTGCGGAATTAATGGATACTGAATTTCTTCCACAGATTACGTAACTCCATGAAAAACGCAATTTATGCTAGCTTTTGGCGAAAAATCTAAAATAGCAAAGAAACACCAAGTCTGAGTAAAAGTATATCAAGAATCCTAATATCTTTGCTGTAGCCCTACAATTTTCACTTTCGAGACGAAGAAGGCAACAACAAGTTCCAGCTGCAGACGCAAGAGAATGGAGGAACGCCTCAGCTATGTTTTTATTACAAAAACTGGTAGAGAACCAAAAACCCTCCGCAGATATTATTTCTTTCTTTGTAGAGCAGGAAAACGTGTTTTCGTCGCGTGCAGATTTTTTTCAACTGAGAAAATGCGGACGTGTGGGATGTGGCAACTATCGAGTGGGGTGGGGGCAGGCAATCGATAGGCGGCTGTCTGCAGCAGTGCAACCCTGCGTACCAGCGATGTCCACTCTTCAGAAGATCAACTTTGTTTTTTTGTTTATAAATTAAATAGTTGAAAAATTTGTGCGTTTGCTCGAACGATTGAAGCACGAATGTCTCTTGCTTTTGAGTGGCTTTCCTTTCCAAACGAAAAGTGAAAGCTACTTAGTTTCCCTTTTCTTTGTTTGCTTTCGAGCAGGTTGGCAGCGCCATGCCACGAACACAAAGGCGTGCGATGACGCCATATTGATTTTTCACAATTTTTTTCACACTGCGCAATTAATTAAACGCAACCAGAATGAAATGCAACAAAAATGCGTTTTTATAGCAATTAAGATCATTACAATGTCGCCACTTTCTATTGCTTTGCTTAGTCTCTTTCGGCGAATGGCCTGAGTTAGTGCGTTTTATGCCAACTCGTACGCGTCCACGCCCCAAGTTGCGGGACTTTCTCTTTCGTGCAACTTTCTCGGCAGACACTTTGGTCGAGTAAAAATAATTTTTAATATTTAATATTCAATTAAGCCTACCAGGAAATACAGTTTTAATTTCTTTATCGGTCTTACAATTTGTCTTAATCTGTTATGCGCTGAATTTTCTTTCCGTCAGATCGAAAAACATTGATGTGACTGTCGGTACTTTCGATGTTTTTAAACATCGATTTCTAGGAAGTTGTTGCAAACAGCTGAAAAGGTGGAAAACTATGGTAAGTTGCACCAAAGTTTTGGTCACACTCCACTTTTCTCCGCTCTGGCATCTCTGCCAAAAACAAGCGTGCTAGAAAAACTCGGTTGGGAATATATAAATAATATAATTAAAAACCATGAGCGACAGCGAGACGGAGGAGACCAAGATCAGCACGGAGCCGGTGGACAATGCCTGGGCCATGAAGATACCAACCTTCAGGGCCGAGGACAATCCGCACGGCATGGTGGAAGAGAGCTCGTTCGCCACGCTCTTCCCCAAGTACCGGGAACGGTATCTTAAGGAAGTGTGGCCCCTAGTGGAGCAGTGTGTGGCGGAACACCACCTAAAGGCAGAACTGGACCTGATGGAGGGCAGCATGGTGGTGAAGACCAGCCGCAAGACCTGGGATCCCTACATCATCATCAAGGCGCGCGACATGATCAAACTGATGGCCCGCAGCGTGCCCTTCGAGCAGGCGAAGCGTGTGCTCCAGGACGACATCGGTTGCGACATCATCAAGATCGGAAACCTGGTCCACAAGAAGGAGAAGTTCGTCAAGCGGCGCCAGCGTCTGATCGGTCCCAACGGAGCCACGCTCAAGTCCATTGAACTGCTCACCGATTGCTACGTTCTCGTCCAGGGCAACACTGTCTCGGCTCTGGGCCCGTACAAGGGCTTACAGCAGGTGAGGGACATTGTGCTGGAGACCATGAACAACGTACATCCCATTTACAACATCAAGGCGCTAATGATCAAGCGCGAACTGATGAAGGACCCACGTTTGGCCAACGAGGACTGGTCCCGGTTCCTGCCCAAGTTCAAGAACAAGAACATTAGCAAGCGAAAGCAGCCAAAGGTGCGCAAGACCAAAAAGGAGTACACACCGTTCCCGCCCACGCAGCCGGAGAGCAAGGTGGACAAGCAGCTGGCCTCGGGCGAGTATTTCCTCAACCAGGAGCAGAAGCAGGCCAAGCGGCAGCAGGAGCGCAGTGCCAAGCAGGCGGAGGCGGCCAAGCGCCAGGACGAGCGTCGCAACAAGGACTTTGTGCCGCCTTCAGAGGAGAAAGCATCTTCGTCTCAAAAGGACAGCTCCTCGGCCAGCAAAGTGGACGTCAAGGCTCTCAAGGCGAAGCTGCTCAAGGCCAACAGGAAGGCGAGGAGCTGATCATCCGGAGACTGCGTTCTTTTTGTTTAGTTTTAATTATTAGCTTTAAGGTTTTGCATCAATTAAAAAAGGATTGTGAGGTGAACATTTTTAAATTCGAATTTGTAACGTTTACAAAGTGTTTTTAGGCTTCGGGTAAATATTCATATGTCTCCAAGGCCGGTAGTAGCCTACAAATAATCTTGGGCTTAATTGGCACTAAGTACTTTGTGTTTCGCACTTGCACCAACCTGTACACGGGACGTGTCAAAAAAATGTTTTGATCCAAAGGAGGATCCAATGTGTCATCATTAACGGAATCAGGATTTCCGGTTAGATCATCCGTAGGTACCACAGGTGTGTCCTGCTCCATTGAAATTTGCAGCTCCACTTTCTCTGCAGTATCCGGATTCATGCCGGGCGTTTTAGGCTTTATTTCCCTTTGTTCTTGGCGCTGCATTGAGGTGAACAAGCGAGCCTCTGGCAATGTTTCCATCTTAGTTAGTGGATCCCACTTAATCTTTGCTTCGTCGCTGGTCAATTCACTCAATCGATCCATGTTGGCCAAGGACTGCTCCGCAGGGACAAGAAGTATGAGTAATGCTAACGAAAATAGTGACATTGTTAGATCCATCGAAAAATAAGTTTATGTAGAGATAAGTAAACAATAAAAACTGTTGGAACTTTCCTTTATCTAGCATGTATGCAAACCTATTCGATATTAGGGTTGACATATTGTTCCAGAAAAAAAGAAATTAATCTAGCTCTTGTTTTGCCTGGTTTCGGCACTCCTGTTAAAGGTACTATAAGCTTAGTTAGTTCGTTTAAAATAATACAAGTATGTTTATAAATATATTCTTGAAATCCATTTCATAAATCCCAAAAATATGCTACAATAATACACATTCCCGAAACATTCAAATCTAGCTGCCGCTCTCTCTCGCTCTACCTTTTCTCACCTGGCGCTCTCTCTTTGCCTTGCCTCTCTTGTAGAGATATGACACTGTGTATTAAAAAAAGTAAAATAGTTAAACTTAAAAACAAAGTGAACAAAAATAACATAAAAAAAGGAAACAAAAAAAATGTTGAGTGAAATTATAAATATAAAAAAATATATTTTATATGGTGTATTTATGAATATGAAAACACAGTGTCATAGCCGCATCAACAAGTGGCTTAGCGCTTAGTGAGACACAGCGAGTGGGCCAAGTTAGCAAGCAAACAGGTAGTAAGTTAGTAGTTAGTACGGATTCTGGTACCGACTTGACATGTACTACTAAGCGCGGCCACAGCGGACGACGCTCGCGTGCGTTTTGACGACAACAACAAGTACAACAACAGCAGTAACTGAAAGCGACGTTGCGGGTTATTGTTATTTGTTCATTATTCTCCGCAAGCGACAACAACTACGGAAAAAAGGAGAAAGAAACAGTTTGTGAGAAGCGGAGAATTAAAAAGAACGAAGCGAAAGAAAGCCGACTTAAAAATAAAAATCGAAGAGGAAAGAAGCCAAAGGAGAAGGAGAGAGCACGAGAAAGATACCCGGACCGAAAGCGGCAGCCAGACAAGGAGCGAAGACAGGTAAACGGAGGAGGCGGAGAAGCAGAAGAAGCATAGAGCGGGCTTATTACAGTTACTTTTAATGTTTGGAATTAAAAATTAAAACAATGCTCGAGTGATCGCAAGCCCTCAAAACCGAAAACCGAAATCGGAAAACCGAACAACCGAAACCAGTTAAAAATGCCAGACAAACGAACCGAACGTGACAGCGAGATGCGGATTCGTGCTAATTAGAAGAAGAATGTGCGAAGTGAGAGGATGATATCGAAATGTTAACGAGATATGGATACCCCAAGTGTCCATGTGTGTGTGCCTGTGCGGTTTACGTAAAGGAAATAAACGAAATACCCTGCATATCAGCGGATAACGCGGTCGATTAGAATAATATACAATAATATACAGTGTGTGTGTGTTGAATTAGTGAATGAATTGAACAAAAAGCATTGAAAATCAATACGAAACCTGCCGCCGCTCCCAGTTTGTATATCCACTCACGCACACCACCAAAGCCCACTACCTGTGTGCGGCTTGGACCATGTCCATGTGTCGGTGTGTGTGAAAAAGACTTGTAAAAATATCAACAGCCGCCGCATTAAGAGAGGGAGAGAGAGAAAAACAGGTGGAAAAGAAAGCTTAAAAAATGCGGTCGGTCAAAAAGAAGGGAGATGGTGGAGACGACACGGAGACAAATATCCGTAGAGTTACCTTTTCAAGCCGCAGCAACAATACACATGCAAGCATGGGACCTGCCACGCATGCGCGCGAATGGGACGGCAATAGTGTTGCTCGGGGTGTTGGTGTCTCGCCATGTCTCCCCCTTCTCCCAGAGCCTGGCTCGTCATTATTTTGTTGTTTTGCCCATTTGCTTCGTAAACTTAAAAGTATGCGCAAGATAAAAACAAGTGAACTGAGCCGTCAGGAGCGCGCCGCCTATCTAAATCTGTGCTGTCCCCGCCGCCTGAATTATTTGAGGCATTAATTCCCCCAAGAAATATGGGATTCCTGTGCGCTGTAATTGTTTTTGCCGCTTATCAACGCGGACTTAATTAATTATCTTCAACTGAATGGACGTAGTAGTATCTGCTTTTATGATTTATGCAAGTGCGTTACACTTTCGCCGTTATTTGCGTGCGATAATAATGTTTATCGCTCCCCCTCCCGCTTGGGCTGCTGCAGGAAACAGAGAAGAAAAGAAAACAAAGTCAATCCGTCAAAATTCCACTGGCGTGATGCAATTTCGGACTCTGAAAAAAAAAAAAATAATAACACTGCGCCGCAACACGATAAAAACTAAAAACAACAAAACATAACAAGGGGCCGAGAAGGCCCAGGGGTGTAGAGTGTAGTTAGTAGTAGTGGGTCAGTCAGCGTTTTCTTTTTATTTGCATTTCGCTTTGTTTGTTTATTGTGTTTGAGCAAGATCGCTCGACCGATAGTGCTGACCCCCTCCTGGCATTTTCTCTTTCACCTGCCGCAAGTACACAGTCTCCCCTGCTGCCCCCGCCCCTGACCGGATCGGTATGCGACGTTGACGTCGCTCTGAGCCCAGCCTAAAAGCCAGCGGAAAAGTTGTTGCTGTCACTCGAGCCGAGGGAGCGGCTGAGCTAGTGTCTTGCGCGTGCTACTGAGCGGGAATGAGAGAGAGGGAGAGAGAGTGCTTGCAAATCTGGGCTTAGGTGTGTGTGTGTGTCTGTGCTTTTTGCAGGTGTGTTCCATTGGCTACACTGCGAAAAATAATAAAATAATTATTAATAAATATAATTTACTAAATTATAAAAACTTTGACCAATGAGGTCTTAAATAATGAGTTATTAGTTGAAAGAAAAACGTAAAATAATATTTTGTGTTTAAAATTATTGTATTTATATAAAGACTATCCTTTTTTTTTCTCGCTGTGTAGGCAAAGTGATGTGGACAATCATCTGGGGGAGGGGGTACGGTAGGTAAGGCGCGCGATTTTTGAATTCCAATGCTGATCCGAGAGCCAACAAACGAAATGTTAAAGTTTGAGAATAATTGCGGCCATGTGCGGACCGTTTTGGAGTGTCTATGTGTGTGTGTGTGTGTTAGCGTTAGTGGAAGTGTGGAATGCGGTTTGAGTCAGCGATACTGGCTGCGCAGTATCCAAAGGGGGGCTTGAGGCTGCGGAGGGGATCCCAATCTCGTCTCCAAATCTCGGTAGAAGTACAAAGTAGTGACTTAACAAATTTTATTTATTCGGTAAGATCAATTTGGCATCCGGCACTCACCCAGAAAACTTGGTCAACGGAAACTATGAAATCATGATGGGAAAACCTAATTTGGCTCGAAGAGACTTCTACGGATGTGTTAGCCACACCCCAGAAAAGTCATTCGTTAACTCTTATTTTAGCATCCCCTCGTATAAGTGCATTTAAAATTTTAATTTTGAATAAAATTTACAGACTTGGAAATATTTAGGTCTTGTTTGTTTTCAAATTATTTCCTACAAAACATTTCTAAGCAAAACTTGTTTATTTAAAGATTATTTTAACAAAGAAGTTCTATTGTTCTGCAAAAAATATATTTAAAAGCAAAGGACAGGGTCTTCTAAACTTTTTTATCTTAAAGCCTGGGCTTTGATTTGATAATAAAGTTTTGATAATAAATATTTTAGAGCACTTGTTTTAGTAATTCCAGAAAAACAAGATAATGACTAAATATGTATAACAAATATGCTCCATAGGTATTTATTTATTTAACCTTCTGATGCCACTTTCCACAATAATGGAAGAAATTAAATGTATAAATTTTAATAACTGGTAGCTATAGTATATAGTGGATAATCCATATTATGTTGATATCGGACCCTGATTCTACAAGTCACCAAAGAAAACAATACGAAAATTCTAAGCCTTTCGCATTGCCAAAGGTGTGTTATCCTTCGGGCGCGATGCTTCTTCCTGGCGATGTGCAGTTTCTGTGTAAACAACTGTGCTCTGTGCTTCTAAAAAAAAATCTGAAAAAAAACATCTAAGCTTTACCAACCCATAATATTCTCTTCCTAAAAATTCTTATTTTAAGACACAATTTAAGACGGACTATCTGGTCTGTAAATTGACTCCTGAGTCCAAAGTCACTACCTAAGCAAAAAAGAAAAGAATGGTTAATCATCACTCAAATGGCGGTGGCAGTGCCGGAAACAGCAGCGGCAGCCTACGAGGAGGCGGTGCTCATGGAGGTGGCGGCGGCGGAGGAGATTACTCCGGTGATGATCGCAGTGGCGGCGGAGAGGAGCGTGAGAGGCTAGACGGCGATCTGCATGACAAGCCCACCTACCTGCTGGAGCATCTGGCCACCTTTACGGTGAACAAAGAGTCGGGCATTGTCTACCCGGCAGACGGAATGCGGCGACTGCTACAGCTGGAGAAGACCACGGGCATTTGGTCGCAGAAGATGCAGCTCTGTTTGGACTATCAGTGGGTGCTCATCATGGACTATGAAACGGGGGTGAGTTCTGGGACAAAAACATGAAAGTTTGCCCCTTTTAAACTTTATTTTTCTACCTTTCTAGAACATCATTGAAAGATTTCCAGCTTCGTTGGTCCAAGAACCCACAGCCTTCACCTCCAACGATGCCATGGAGCTGTATAATAACATTCTGGTCTTTATAGTATCCGGCGGCGGTGGTTCCCGCTCCGAGATGCACATATTCCAGGTGAGTTTTATATTAAACATTTTTAAGCTGCAAATTAAATGCATTTCAAATCTTTATTTTGCAGTCACAAAGCGTGTCCGCCGTCCACTTGGTGGAGGACCTCAAGCAGCTGCGCAGTGGTAAGATGATTACCCAGCAGCGAGGAGCCACGCCCACGCAGTCCGGAGGCGGTGGAGCCTCGGGCATGGCCATGATGATGAGCAAGACCTCGTCGTCGTCATCGCATAGCCGCGTAGAGCTGCACAGCAGGGAGCAGCGTGTGGACCGGGACAGAGAGCGCGAAAGGGAGCGGGATCGAGATCGAGAGCGGGATCGGGATCGGGACAGCCAGCACCATCACCACATGCACCAGCGAAGCAGTGTGGAGCAGTACGGCGTGCGAGCAGGAATCGGAGGAGGCGATGATGTGGCGCACATTGGCGGGGAGACAGACTCGGAGCATGGCGGCATCATTGTCGGCGGCGTTGGGGTAGGAGCGGAGCGAGACGAGACCAGCTCCACCTCCAGCGAGAAGTACGAACGGGATGTGGCCGTCCTGAATCACTGTTTCGATGACATTGAGAAGTTCATAGCCCGGCTGCAGCATGCGGCTGCCGCTTCGCGGGAGCTAGAACGACGTCGTCGCAATCGCAAGTCAAAGAAAAGAGATCCTGGCGAGGGCTTGCTCACCCTACGGACTCGACCGCCGCACGAGAAGGAGTTCGTGGACATCTTTGCCAAGTTCAAGTTGTCGTTCAATCTGCTGGCCAAGCTGAAGGCCCACATCCACGACCCCAATGCCCCCGAGCTGGTGCATTTCCTCTTCACGCCGCTGGCCCTCATTGTGGAGGCGTCCAGCGACACCTACTACGAGTCGCAGCTGCCGGCGCGCGTCGTGAATCCGCTGCTCACCCGCGAGGCCATCAATCTGCTCATCAATTGTGTGACCAGCAAGGAGACGGAACTCTGGCGCTCCCTGGGCGATGCCTGGGTGATTCCCCGCGATCAGTGGAAGGATGATGTGGGCTCGTATCATCCCGTTTTTCTCGATGGCTGGTCCCCGGATTATCTGATCAACGATGAACTGGAACCGCCACCAAATTCCCCGCCAGCTCATGTCAGCAAGCGTCGGCTGGAGGTCCAAGCGGTGTCCTCTGGACTGAATGGACGAGGATACGATGACTATGATTCTGGTAATGGGATGAACATGAGTATGGGCATCGAGAAGTACACCATTCATCATGGCAACGATGGGCTGAGGGAGCGGGAACGGGAGCGAGATAGAGACCGTGCTGGAGCCATCAGTGCCTCTGACTTTAACACCCGCAGCGAGCTCTCCTTTGACTCGATTGAGGGCAGGGGAGGTGGAGCAGCAGCAGCGGGTCATGGCCATGGTCATGGGCCCGGAGCAGGGCCCACCCTCAGCGCCATCACAGCAGGACTGCAGAATCTGCACACGCGGGACAGTCGTGGTGGCAATGGATATGGAGCAGGAGCAGGAGCTGGAGCGGGACCGGGACCCTCTTCGGAACTAGGCAGGGGAGCAGCAAACATTAGCGATGACCAAATGCTCGAGTCCTGGCTGGAGGATCTTCAGGCGGGTGGCTCCAAAATAGTGCTGGTCACCTATCCCAGGACCGCCAACAACGACAAGGAGCTGAGTGTGATGCGAGGCGAATATTTGGAGGTGGGAAGCAACTAGGAAATGTATTACTAGGACATATTTAATCCCATAATTTCCTCAGATCCTGGATGACACTAGAAAATGGTGGAAGGCGCGCAACATGCGAGGACAGGTGGCCCATGTGCCTCACACGATTGTCACGCCCTTCAACTATGGCGATGGCGATGGAGCTCAATACTATGGCCAACAGCAACAGCAGCAGGCGGGACCTGGACTGGCCAACAAATCGCGACCAGGGGTGAGTCTTCCTAGAACTCCGCTACTTGTGCTGCTTGACTAATCCCTGTTAGTTTCCTCAGGATAATCCCAGTATGGAGCAACGATCCCCGGATCCCACCGACATGATGCGCAGCAAGCATCTGGGGAAGAAGGGCGAGTTTCGTTACTTCTAAGGATCCTGATTCGGATTCGGTACACCATATACCAACCATATATACACGCATTACATATTTCGTAGTGAGAATCTAGCATTAAGGAGGTTCCGTCTAGGATGCTAGTCCCGATTCCGAGGATTCCGATCGGATTAGCTCCGATGCTAAAACTTAAGATAAGGACTAACCTAAGTGTGAGAGATGAAAGGAGGAAGATGCCGAAGGAAGATAAAGATGTAGATGGAGATGGAGATGAAGAAGTTGGAGAAGATGAAGCAATATGGGAAGGCGAAGGCAATAATTTGTTTAAATAAAATTATATCCAAAGGATTTCTTAGATTATTTTTGTTAAGGCAACTAAGGAGTTGTCCTGTCATCAGCAAAAGATTCTTCTAAATAATCTTTATTTTTTAAGCTTTATTTTCGATGCTCACAAGGAAAAGTTAACTGGTGCTTAAAGGATACTGGTACTGATCAAAGACAACGATTGAACAAAGAGCAAACGCTACGAGATGAACCCATTTGTCCCATATCTTATCTAGATTATGGACAGCTTCTCCACGCGTGACAGTAGCGGCGAGTCGGAGTGGTATTCCAGATTCCTCACAGCAAAGTCACCCACATCGTTGGTGAAGCACTTGAGCGTCGAAATGGAAAAGGGACGTCCCGGGAAATTGTAGTAGGTGAAGTACTGACCATTCACGGCGATCAGGAAGGCGCGATCCCCCAGACCAAAGGCGATCTTGAAGAGTTTGCCGCGCACAAAGGGGAATTCCCCCTCGGTTTCCTCGTCATCGGGGGCAAAGCTAAACAAAAAAATTAAATCAATTTACGAAAAGAAATCACTTAATCCTTGAGAGCTTTCTCACCTGTTATCATCCCGCTGATAACTACGTGAAACCGTGGTCCTGTCAAAGTTCACATGGAACCGAAGCACTGTGCGCCCAGTGTCGTTGCACTGGAAGCAAATGGAAAACTCCGTGGTGGGCGGACCCTTGGCTATGCACTCCATGGCCACCACAGTGCCCGTCTCATATCTCCGGGGCACGTCACTCTGGAAGGCAACCCGATCCGGGCACATCAGGGTGCGCGGAAAGACAAGCGGAAAGAGCATGCGATGATGGAACTGGGTGATCTTCTCAAAGTCCCCGTACAACCGCACAAAATTGATTTGCTTGGGGAACTTGACAAACTCAAAGGAGCCATACAACTGGTCATTCACATAGATTTCGAAGCAGCGCTGCAGCACGGCCACACGGAAGGTGAAGGTCTGGCCCGGCTGGAGGGGATTCTTGGGACCGTCGCACTTCCAGTTCTTGCTGATCTCCTCCTGCTGCCAGCCCTCGCCCGGCTGGAACATGCTGCGTATGATCTGGCCCTCACGGAAATTGGCCTCGATCTTGAGAAACACCGTCTCACTCTCGTTCTGCGCATTGACATTGTCGGTGAGGTCAAGGGATATTCTGTTTTGTGATTTTTTTTTCAATTTGATTTGAAATTAGTTTTTGGATGAATTGCGATTATTTGTGGCAGTTTTATTTTGCAGATACTTGGTGCGATAACTATTTTTGGTTACATTTATGTATCCAGGTACTAGCTCAATTTTTTTTTGTTTTAATTTAAGCTCTATATCTTCGGATCACTTCAACCTATTTGACTTGAATATTTACCGCATATTCTCTTTAGTATATCACATTTTTAGAGCTCCATAAATAAGTAATAAACCTACCTTTGATTGAATAATTTCCTAATAAATGGTAATAAAACTACATTTTTTATAGGTACAAGCTATAAACGTTAAGTACACTTTATCTATAAGAATAGATTCGTATGTTATATCCTGAGAAAACAGTTTTTGGTTAAAGAAAAACTCAAATTTGCTAGAAAAAATTCTGAATTTTAGAAAATAAGCAAGTTAATCTAGGTAGAACCTTTTAGTATCAATATATTTTGTGGATTTATATTATAATTGAGATTTAGAAAGTCCAGCCTTTAGAAAAAAGTTGCTGATTTCTAACGATTCCTAAGAATCTTCACGTATTATTTAATTATTCTGTTTATTTCAAAGTTTTTAAAGTCGTTCTAGGTAAATAATTATGATTAATTACAAATTACATTATCATTCCAAAGTCTTAAGAGTCTCTCCAGGCAAACCTTTATGAATACCTTTAAATTATATTATCTTTAGGGCTTTTGACAGACAAGCGGACACAGAAAATTCAAAATATTCCATAGAATCTTTACTAACTTTATATATTTATAATATTTTACTCTTTCCTAAAACCACAACGAGGAGAACCCTATTGCACCGAGCAACTGCAATCTTAAAGAAAAAACGATTGCCTACTTATTGGGATGCGGCTTGACTCGTCCAGTTACGATAAGCACATGCCCAAAGGGCACCTCCGTTAGCACCTTTGCCTTCCACACGTTCATCGCGTCTCGCGGTTCTACTGCAACTGAAACAACGTTGCTTCCCGTATCCAAAGTTTGGCTCCGGTATCGGCGCGTTTTTTATGCGCCTTTATGCTAATAGATTTGCCATCCGTCGCCTTTCCTCGTTCATTTGTTGTGATTATGTAAAGCGGGGGAGCCCAAGAAGAAACAAAGGAGGGGGGCTAGAAATGAGGAATTACCTGCAGCCGCATGCAAACTTGACATGGACGTGGACGTGGTAAGGTTACCCCCATACCAACCCGTTCAATCGAATCCCATATAAATCCGGCCCAGTGAGCTGAGCCTATAGGTAGAGGAGGTCTCTGGGCTCCATGACGAGAACCTTGCTCGCTTATTTATTTGATTCAATCCTTGCCTTTGTAACCCATAACTGTCATCCTCGAGTCCTTTTCACGGTTGCTGGCTGTCACGCCCCCAACTGCCGACGACGGCCCGCCCATTTGTTGCTAGTACAAGTGACACTGTGAGGAAAATTTGTGTTGGTTTTTTGAGGGATATTGAAATAGGATCTTAGGGGTGAAGAATTTTTAGAAATTTTTAGAAAATTGATGGGACTATCCTTTTTGAGGACATCTTTGGGTAAGGTATCAGGACAGGCTTTTTTATGAAGGGATACTAAAGGTTAACACAAAATTGGTGATACTGTTTTTGGTATAATTTCCAGGATATCTTTTTGAAAACTCAAAAAAAAAGGAAGGATATCACAGAAAACTTCCTGAAGATAATTATATATGTTTTATAAAATTTTTCTAAGACCATAGAAATACTAAGTAATTTCTATGGTGTCCTATGTCATACCTCTTAATCCTTGTAGGATTTCCCATTTCTCCATCAATGTCCTTGCCCTGTCTTCTCTCTGTGTGTTCTCCTCCAATCTTAACCTCTCTCTCCGGCTGCCACTCACTTCCCTTTCTACAGTTGCTCCTTTCTACTGCTCCATTGTTGTTGCGTGTCTTCGGGTGAAATAAAACAAGGCAACAACAATTGATTCCCTGTCTAAAGTTTTTGCATTTGCACTAAAGTGCGACTTGGGGTTGGCTGGGAGCACTTTTCCAAGCCGCCTTAGCTTGTATACCGGCCCTTTCCAAAATCCAGTTCTCGGGGTAATTCATTTCTTTTGACGTACCTTGGCATATTCGCTGAAGTTCTGTCTCCGTCTCTGTCTGCGTCTACACCTTTCGCTTACGTCCACGTCCAATCCAATGACATCTCCTCAGGGTTCCTCCACTCATCCTCAGTACAGTGAAAGGTCGGGTCATTGAAGGCGGGTGAAGGAGTCTGGGAGATTATTGTGTTTATTATAATTTACTTGAAAAGAGGTAAAGGGTTTACCATATATAAAGGTATTTATAACTGAATAGGAACGGTGCTTCTTAAAAAAAGAGTTTCATCTTTATTGCACTGTTAACCATGGATCATTCCAAGGAGTATAAGCTTGGCTCCACTTCAGGACCCTTAAATATATTACCCTGATCCTGGTTTTTGAGAAAACCTCTCAGATGTATTGTAGCTCAAGTTAAAACTGTCTTAACCCTAAGGCTAAAGGTGCTTTAACTCAACCCAAGAGTGTATAGACCTTTTCTTTTAAGAATATTACAACTAAAAACTACCTCCTACAATATATATTTAAAATTCCCCCATAAGCTGCTCCTACTGTACTCCCACGAACAAGTACGTGGCCTCTCTGTTTGTCTATGTTTCCTTTGGCTGTTAGTTTTTTTTCTGTCGCTTGCACCTGATCGAATTGGGTCCAAGTCTTCAGGCTTAACTCGACTTGGCACTTGGCTGCTCGTCTCACATAAACATATATTTCTGATTGCGTTTCACCTTGGGGCACCGGAGAACCCTGAAATACCTTCCTCCGCCGCATCCCTGGCAGAGGAGTTCAGGTGCCTGGCTTTGCCTGCTACGAATGGCAAATCGCTAATTGGTTAGTTATGGCCACCGACAATCCGACAACAAGCCAATCCATCAATCGGCTCCTGGGTGACCTTGTCAGCTCTAGCTACTGGGACTACTCTGAGACCTGACCTCTGATCAACCGGCAACGTTCTGGGAGCCGAGGTAACTCTTTTCCAAACAGAACTAATGAAGTAATCGTGTCGATTTCAACTTTAATTTCCGCTTGTCACTCCAAACTGATAAACCGAATGGAGCAACTGGAGCAGCACTGCGAGTGGTGCTCTGTGTACGTTGCACAGTTATCAGTGTGTTGGGTGGAGGTGTAGCTGGGTGGTTGCCACGTATAGCCCCTCGAGCCCTTACCCCCTTTCTTATCTGGCTGCCTTACTGCCCTCCAAGGGCTTCGCTCGTCACCTCTCTCTAGCTAGCTAGCGCTTTCCGGGAGCTATTTTATCTCGCTCCTAAAACCATATCGAATTGGTTTGTGGCGAGCGACGACACGTCTACAGAAATCAGATTTTACGGTCTTGCGAGGGGACTGGGGCGACGACGACGACGGGGATCGTCGCAAATCGGACAAGCAATATAGTGATAATGGCTTTACGACCCCCGATTTCATGCCAGCGCACCAAGTGGAGCCGAGAGGCCGACTCCCTACCCGAGTTCCAAACGGAAGCCGATCGATAATCAACCGGCTTCGGGGAGAGGAGCTAACCTTAGGTGGCGTCTGTGTTTTTTGAGGGGGCGGAGCATATCACTTGGCTTTTAGTATCTCATTGTCATCATCACACACACTCTTTCTCTCTCTCTCTCAGTGGGAATTGTGCAATTTGGTATGGATTGATTGGCTTCCAAGGAAGAGAATAAATCTCCCCCGACACTTTTCAGGTGTTCTGATTGTTTCGATTTCAGTTTCGATCCTCACCTGCTATTCTCGTTGGTGACGTAGGCAACACAGTCTAAGATCCATTGATAAGCTAGTTAGTTCTAACCAAAGAGGACACCCTCCTTGAGGCCAAACCGAAAATGAAACCGAAACCGATCTCCACGGATCAACCACGTGGCGTTTGTCTGTGTGTTTTTCGGGCATGAAAATAACTTAAGCCAAACGAACAAACTTTTGGTAATTGCGATCACAGTTTGCATTCCCTTGGCCCAAGTAATTCGCTGCCCCGAAGAGTAAAGTATCTCTGGGTTACACGTAGGCACGATCTCTTGATCGTTTCGGAGCTCTATATATGTCATAGTAACGCCGGATCGATGGCACTACCTATATGCACTTGTCGCGTTTCGGAACGTAACTGAATCGTTGGATTTGACGGTGAAGTTTAAAATGTCAGTTTCCCCCCAAAGCGAACGAACGAAGTCGACGACGATCGCTCCCGGCATAGGCGATATCTCACCTGTGCACAGGTGGCGAAGAAGCAGAAGTACCTACCAGAGTGTGTGTGTTAGTGTGTGAGAGAACAAATAAATATATGAAATATTGAACGCACAAAATGTGGAGCAACAAAGTGGGTGATATTTCTGTAGATAGCACACTCACACTCTCGAGTCCCCTTTCCCAGGTATGAGTGCGTGGCTGCATTTGTATTGGCCATTAAACGCGGCCTGGCTTGGCCTGGCTGTCAACGTGTAGCTCACCACCAGCACCAACCTCCCTTCTCCTAGCTGAAGGAAAATGAAATGGAAATGCCAAGTGGAAATGTCGCCCCGCAATTTGTCTCAATAGATTCCCCAGTCGTGGCTGTGTCGTTATCAGCACAGGTAACAATACCGAGGTACTGCTAACAGGTGAGGTGAGGTGAGCGTAGGGGGGGACTTGCCTACTTGCTGGCTCCCTTCTTTACCGGCGACCCGGTCAGGCGCATCTAAGCACAAACAGTTGAAGGCAAGACAATAGGAGTCAGGATTTTAAAGTTAAATGGTTTAAAAACACATATTTTTTAGCTCACAAAATACAAAACTATTAATCAGTTTTCTAAAGTAGAAAAACCAAGAGCAAAGAATGTTGTTTTCAATTTTTATATATTGTTTTAAGTTGGTTTTTTGTTCAGACTTCAATCTTGATATCTTAGCTTTTTAAGTCAAAGATTTTCCTTTGATTCGTTATATTATATCATCAGTCAAAATCTTGAAAAGCTTTTTAAAATGGCCGGTTGGTTCTCGCTGCCCATGGTTAAAGCCGATGAGGAAGAGGAGTTAGTTGATCCTCAAGAGACACTCAGGGAGAAATGCCAAGCTAAGGAACATATTAAGTCGTTGTACGATAATTACCAGGAGTGCAATGATCGCGTAAATGGAAAATCCAAAACTACTGAGACGTGCGTTGAAGAATTATTTGATTTTGTTGCTGAATTGGATCATTGTGTGGCACATAGCCTGTTCTCAAAACTAAAGTAATTGAAAATTAAAGCCAGAAATGCATGAAACCATAGAATATTATCCCTAATGAGTTTATTTTGGTTAGAAGTAGAAAAGTATATCAAAGGGAAAAGCCCTATATGGTACGTGATGATATATGGGAAAAGTAACGTGAAAATTTGTTTTATATGTATATCAAACAGAATGTTGATTTATAGATTCATAATTTTTTTTTTTTTTTAATTTTCGACTGTATAATCTTGAACTCAACTGTACCCCCGTGTGGGGCCCTGTATGCCTGACAGACAAGTGACAAAACACCCGATCGATCGTTCGTCTCTAATATTTGTCCAAGCGATCTGGAGTCACCACTCTCGTCCTCGTCCCACCCCTGCCACGCTCGGCATTGTCTTCCACGATCCCCTTGCCTCCTTATCATTGGACAAACAGCGACATGCCGAGAAGCGTCATAATTTCTCTTTGATGTTTGCACGAGCACCACCGAGAAGAGTGTCATTAATTGATTTATTAACCAAGTTGGCTGTCTGTCAGCTAGAAGTCTTTCTTGGGTCCGATTTGGGGATGTCCATCCCAGTAATTATATGGCCAACTAATTAGGTAAATGTGTTTGCCACGATAGGGGAGATATGTCAGGGTTCCCTACGGGATGATAAGGTTGATGGGGAGAACATGTCGATCGATGGGCGGGCACTTAGATGATTGTGGAACGGTTCCATCTCGTCATCTTTGATCATTGTTTGAGGTGGGAACGGAAGGTGAGCGAGCATACCCACCCCACCCCACCCCACTCTCTCTTTCTATTCTCCTTTCTGACTTTTTCAAGCCCGCGGTCATGTGCGTGTGCATATGGAGTGTGTTTATTCAGCTGGACACCTGAGACACCAGACACAGAGCGTACAGCAAATACCATTCCATATAGACTATATATTATCATTAATGGGTTGCCAAGGAAATATAACCTAGAGCTCTGCACTCTTGGCCTGCTGCTGCTGCTGCTGCTTCTTGGCCTCAATCACATTCTGCATGACCAGATCGTACAGGTTGTCCTCCTCGTGATCCTCTTGAACTTCCTGCGACTTCCCTTTGACCTCCTGCAGGCTCTCCAGTTCCTTTCTGTAGTTGTCCAGAGCCTGCTGAAGCAGTTTTTCCACGGGAGAATATGTAGAACGGGATCTCAGGCGGGCCTTGGCTATCTCCAGAGCCTAATAGAGGGTACAGGAAATCGAGTAATGAAGCTTCAAAGAGAAAAGGAGTCTCACTCACCTTCAAGGTGTTGGAATTTCTCAGGAGAGCTTCTTCATAGGACAAAACCTTGGGTGCAGGTGGATGTAGGTTCGAACTCTCGGCCAGCTTTTCATTTTGACGTTCCAGTTTCAGTTCCTCAATTTGGCTAAAAAGGAAATATATATATTTTGTAAAATATTTCAAGGTCTTAATTACCTAAGTTTACTCACACTTTCTCCAATTTCTGATCAATCTCCGCCTCGAGGGCCATATATTTGTCATTTATTTCTTTTATGACATCCATTTTTTGGCCAGGGGAATAGTAAATAATTAGTAAACGTAAACAAATAGGTTGCCAAGCAACAAATCATATTTTACCTGACTGCCAGTGCTGCCCAGCATGTAGGAGCGGTAAATTTGAAAGTTTATATGCTGTTTTTCAACACTGGTAGTTCATTAACAATCGAAAAATTTTAAGTAGCGATAGAAATTATTTGAAGTTTAAAATCAAGCGGGAAAATATATCCGTTTATTTCATAAATAATAAAATATATATAGATAATTCCATGAAAATATCAAAATATGGACTGGCCCAATCACTTTATTTTGTAAGCAATTCCCTTCTTATCTGCCCATTTGATGTGATAGTTTATCTAAGCATGTTGTTTATTATATTTGCAAATCGACGAGCTGTTGTTGAGGATGATAATAGCTAGCTTCAACAAAAAAGAATAGATTTTATGGGCTTTTAGTGGCACCATTTGGGCAATCCGCCGATCAAAGGTCATTCCGGGACACAACCAAAAATATTTTTAACAAGTATATAAGCATTTTTGTGGGTTTCAAAATTATTAGAGAATAATTAATAATTAAACCTCATAATGTAAACTACTTTACTTGATCTAGGTGAAAATTTACCCAAACTTGCTTTATTTTTAAATCCCAAAATTCCACTTTCCTCTTGGTCATAGGGAAACTCCCTATCAAAATAATACAAAGCTACTTTATTGCAATAAAACCCCCATTCATTCAACCAAAACACCCCAATTAAATTAACTTTTCACAATCAGATGATAAAGTTATATGGACTTTAGAGTAATGAAAAAGTACCTGACCCATATACGTATATCAAGTTAGGAACTCTTTTGATACTTTGATTAGATGATTCATTTTAGGAACTGATATATCTTATTTAATTTTGTACAACATTTTTATGATAAAAAACAGGAAATAAATATATATTTTATAATAACCTTACTATTGGACCTAGGTATTCGTTGTTATCTTCTAAGGAAGAATAGATTATTAGACTTGAAGCCAGACATCTTTTTTTATTATCGACCAAGTACCCCTTTTAACTAGTAAGTGGAAGATTAAATAGACAGACAACAAGTACAGTGACGAACTTAATTATTGGCACAGTTTTTCTCCCTTAAAAATAGCGAAACTTTGATCTAAATATTGATTAATTTTCAATTAAATTAATTTAATTTTATTCTTGTTTATCATTCCATTAATTTAGTAAAAATAAAATAGTAAAAAAATTCCACTTACTGTTTAAATCTTTTCCCTTAATATTACAAAAATATATATAAAAATTTTTAGCCAATAATATTTAGTAGTCTAGTAATGTAAACTTCATAATTATCAACAAAAAATGGCTTAATGTCATACTAATGATGACTTGCTAAACTCTTTAGTAATTAAAATGTTTGCTGTTTTCTTCAAATTGAATTATAATGATGACTTGGCTGAAAGTGAAGAAATAACAGTCACAAAAAACGATTTATTTACCTTTGCGCCGTTCAAAGTTCAAAACCAAAAAGTAGGTTGATCTTTTTTTCACACCCAAAACAAGTTTTAAGCAAACAAAAAAATGTATAAAATATACAACAAATTCGTAAAAATTTGTGCACAATTTAGTCATATATTTATTTTGTTATTACTCACAACATTATACTGATATATGATATATACATACATACACTCTAGCCTAGCCTACATCCTACATCCTAACTAGGTAGCCTCCAAACTTAAGTAGCTCACGGTTCCAGCAGAAATTGCTTGATGTGCGGCGCCACACGTTCCGGGGTAACCAGGTGCAGGTGATGGGTACCCGGCACCTCCACGTACACCACCTTCGAGGCGTGCTCCTTCAGGGTGGCAATCACATCCGCATAGACCTGCGGCGTCTCGAACTTCATGCCAGGAGTGCCGCGTATATTCAGCACTCGGCAACGAATCTGACGGGCATAGGCCATGGTCTGCTCCGCGGTGAACATGCCCAGCAGGCTCACCTTTAGCCGCAGATCCCGGGCAAACAGGTAACCATCCTGACTGGGATTATGCCGCATTCCCCGCTTCATCAGGACACGCACCGACGCCTCGTCCACAGAGCCATCGTAGGCGTCCAGCACCAGTTTGATCATCTCGTCGTACGCATAGCAAGGCTGCTTGCTCTCGGGCAGCGTTTCGTAGTCCAAGAACTTGTCCAGGGCCTTGCCAGTGCCCTCGGCCATCCGCTGGACACCGCGAACCGTGGGTCCAGCGATATCAATGTTGATTAGCTTGTTTACCTCATCCGGAAAGCTGGCGGCGTACATGAAGGTCAAAGCGCCGCCCAGTGAATGGCCCAGCAGGGTGACATTCTTCCAGTTGTACTTTCGGACAATGCGACGGATCAGGCAGATGCCGTCCCAGAAGATGAAGTACTGCATGCCCTGCGGATAGTGCGAGGACTTGCCATGGCCGGGCAGATCGATGGCCAGGACGGACGAATTGCGGGGCAGCAGCGGGCACAGGCGATCGAAGCTGCCGCAGTTATCCTGCCAGCCATGGAGCGCTATAATAGGCTGTTGTTCCCGAGAACCCCACCATTTACCTAAAGCCATAAGCGAGAGATAGAGATTAGTAGCTGCGTCACGTTTGAAATCACGTCAGATTGTGAATCGGCACGGCGATAAGGATGACTCACCCGCCACTGTGCCCCAGGGCACGTCAATGGAGAACTCCTCCCAGCTGTCCTCGCCCAGCAGCTGCTCCTCTATATCCACCTGGCCATCTAAAAAGAAGGAAGGTTAGCAACTGCAGGCGAAATTGTAACTCAAAGCGTCTGGTGAAATCGCAGCCCAAGAAGAGACTTCGGACCCGGAGGTGCAAATGAATGCGGCTACAGGTGACCATGTCTCCGCGTCTCCTCGATCCCCCCGCTGCGCTCTTCCACCTGCACTCACTTGTCTTCGGCGACGACACCTCAGCGGATGAAGGCAGCGTTGTGGTTGTGTTGGCTACGCGTGTCTGGCCCATGTTACGGCTGCGGAAACGGGGTTTACGATCGAGGGTACGGGTCAGACCCAGCTGGTGACGACTGCGGCGATTGCGAATCTCCGAGAGACTGTCGCACAAAAGTTTCGCCCGAGTTTTGCCTTGTCAATAAATTTTGGCCCATCTGGCTCTGGCGGTGTGTCGGGAAAATAGCTGGTTTGGGGAGCAGGGGGAAAAAGCTAAATATATAATATATTTACCCAAATTCGAGAATAAATAAAAAGAATAAAAATATTTATCGAATATGGATAAAATATATTAAAAATAATATATATATAATATATATTTATTTGATGTTTTCCAGTAATCTCATTCGGCTATAAAAAAGCTAGACGTTTCGCACAGTTTTGTGACTATGTGGCAACGCCGTTAGACGCCTCTTGTTTTGATTTTGCTTTGGCGTGGAAAACTGTAAATAAATATTGTTTTTCTGCATAAAAGCCCTTTTTAAACATGTAAGTCCTTAAAATAACCGCTCCTTCTATGCTCCATTCTTAAATCAAACCCCCGCAGGACGGAGTACTGGAAATCCAACGAGCGCAAGTTCTGCGACTTTTGCAAATGTTGGCTGAGCGACAACAAGGCGGTAAGGCTAAACTCTTGACCAATTTCAAGGATCCCTAGTAATAAAGATCCCCCCAGAGCGTGGCCTTCCACGAGAGTGGCAAGCGGCACAAGCTGAATGTGGCCAAGCGGATCACAGACATCAGCCGGAGCAGCGAGAAGTCCGAGAGGGAGCGCCAGAAGATGGACGCTGAGATCCGCAAAATGGAGGAGGCGGCCATGAAGTCGTATGCCCAGGATGTCCATGCCCATGGCGACATGACTGCCCGCTCCATCAACACAGTGATGAGGGCCACTGCCGCCGCTGCCTCCTCCTCTTCCGCCGGCAGCGTTAGCTCCCAACGCCAGCGTCAGGTGGATCCCATGCGACTCGAAGGACTCTCGGACGAGGAAGAGGACAATCGGCGTGTGAACATAAGCAAGGTGGCCGAGACTGCTGCGGTGCCAGAGGCTTCGCTGTGGGTCGAGGGCAAGTCGGATGAGGGGCACACGTACTACTGGAACGTAAAGACCAACGAATCGGTGTGGAAGAAGCCCAAGGAGGGCTTCCTCTCCTACGAGGAATACGAGCGCATCAATCAGCTGGCGGTGGACCAGCAGGAGTTGTCGCAGGCCGAGGAATCGCGACGCTTTCGGGAGAACGCCGACGAGGAAGTGGCCCGTGTGAATCGAGAACGGATGAAAGCCTACCGAAAACCGGAGAATCCCAAGGAAAAGAAGCAAAAGGAGGAGAAGCGCAATGCCTTCAAAACGGAGGAAGAGGCGGCCACCAAGGAGATTGGACAATGGCAATCCGTGGTGGTGAAGTAAGGGTCTTTTTGAATGATAATCCTTGATGGAGTTGTCTTATAAAGAATCGATTTTTTTAGGCCCCCAGAGGAGCCCATTGACTGGCAGCTGCCCACAACGGATTACTACACTGCTGCTCCAGTGGTCTCGGCCACCTCCAGTGAGCCCGAGCCCCCCGTCAAGCGCTTCAAGGAGAAGACAATAGGAGGTCTGGACGAGGAGACGGCCTCCAGTGCACCTGCCACGTTCAAAAGGAAGTTTGTCAGGAAGGGAAACAGTCGGCAACGAGTAGAGGACTAGTTAAGATGATTTTAAATAGGGAAAATAAAAGTATGATCTACATTATAAGTTAAGAACTGCTAAATCTTTACCCGTTTGAATTTTTTGGTATATAGCTAGAATATACTAAAAATTTAGCTATAGCTAAATTCAGCTTGATGCGTTTTAGTGTGCCCAGAGGCTTGAAAAGCTTGAAATTTTGGAAGGATTAAAGCAAAACTTTCATCTGGCCACACTGGAAAATTGGGAAAAACAGTCGCAAAAAAAACTCAACGAAGCGGTCGTGCCGCGGAAGAAGTTGTGAAAAGTCTGGAAAAAATCTAAAAGAAATACTCTTTTCGGCTTTATATAGCTTCTTTCAAAGCCTGGTTACGTTTTTTACGAAGAATTGTTGGAAATACGTGACGCAGCGTTGCAAAACTGTGTTTGTTGTTGGAAAGAGAGCGGCGTCGGTATTTTCGAAGAATTGCGCTATTTTCCCATTCTGTTTTCGTTTGTTTCCTTTCGTTCCTCCTTCGTTTGTGTTGTGCCTAATAGTTCCGTCTGTGTGTGCGTGTGTACGTGTGTTAATAACAAACCAGACAAGAAGAAGCAACAGCGAGAACCTGAGAATCCGAAACCGAGTGGCAACTGCAATTGTAAATAAATTGAATTCAATGCAACAATCGCAGCCGAAAAAAAAGTGCAAAGTAAACAATACCGATGCAGGCAGCGCAAGCGAGAGGGAAATAGTTTCATTCAATTACCATTGTGCTTGTGTGAGTGCGCGCTTGAGTGTGTGCGAGGCAAGGAGAGGAAAGGTCAAGCCGTGGAAAGTTGCGTAAAGAGAAGGAGGCAAAAAGAGAGTTACGTCAGTTAAGCTCGGCATTATCCGTTATCCGACGTATCCGTATCTCGATCGTGCGTAGCCGTAAAAAGCAGGCAAAATTCAGTTCGTTTACGTTTACAACAGCTCCGCGCCCCACGCCGCCTCCTCCTACCGCACCGCCGTCGCCCCGTTTGCGCCCTACGCGGCGGAGCGTCATCCCAACCACCAGCATCCCGATCCCCAGGAGCAGCTGCCCTCGGACACCGAGCAGCTAGCCGGCGGCACCGAAGAGGAGGAGGGAGAGGACACGGAGGAGGAGCGAGCAGGTCCGTTGATCGCAGTAGCACCAACAGCAGCAACAACAGCACCGGAAGCGGTCAAGGAGGGAGCAAAAGGAGCAAGTGGAACAAAGGAGAGGCAGCAGACAGAGACAGAGATGGCTGTGGTGCGCAAGAAGCAGGACGACAAGTACCTGCTGGCCCTGCGGGAACTGGTGGCCAGCGGTACGGGCGGCAATCGTCAGTGCTTCGACTGCGGCCAAAAGGGACCGACTTACGTGAACATGACCATCGGCTCCTTTGTCTGCACCCGCTGTTCGGGCGTTCTGTAAGTACCATTGATACTATACCCTAGGCCTAGACCCTGTTTCTGCGAATTATAAATATTCCATCTTAGCCCTGGAGGGTGGTCTTCGGCCACCTTTTAGATCTTTTCTCAATGGGAGTTGCTGTGTTGCCTTAATTCCCTGAACGTACAAAGGCCTAGATTTTTAGATTCTTTTGGGAATATAGTGTAGGATCTCAGGGGAAACATTTTGCATTGTCTTTTTCAACTAGCCTTAGAATGATATATGGGGAAGTCCCTATACCAACATTTCCTATAATAAAATTATACTCTCGTAAAAAGCTTTCCCTACCTTTTCTTAAAGTTTCCACTCACGTTTTGTATGCTACATGCGATCAGCCTCAAAACGATTGTATACGAAATTTAAGTGTTTTCCCTTATTAGTCATTCTCAGCCATTAGTGGCAATAATAAACGAAAATGCTGATAAACTTATCAAAAATCCGTGGCTTCCTGATGTTTACCGGATGGCACTGCGAATTTCAGTTTATGTTTGAAAATTTCTAATCTCTAAAAAGCGGTCATTGCCCGAACCAATTGAGTTTAAAAATAGATTCGAAAAATGTAAAAATATCTGCAACAGTCACCTCAATCGAATCCGAGAGCCATGGACCTTTTGCGTGGTCCACCGTCTCTTATCTGCAGTTTGAACCCAGCGCAATTTGAACTCGCTTGACGTCCAATTTTCGATCAGTTGCCGCCGTTGTCGGAGTGGATTGACCGATAATTTCCGCTCGATGCAACGTCCGATCCCTGGCTCCGTCGTCTGTCTCCCCATTATTATTTTGTGTGAAAGCGAAAGCAATTTCGAACAATTTCCAACAATTTCGCACAATTTGGTTTGGGGTTTCCTTTCCTTTTTCGAAAAATGCAAATCGAAGACAAAACTTTCAATTGCGCGACATCGTGTCGGCTGTCGGCTGCCACATTTGGGGCCAAACGAACGAAAATAACGAAATTGTTTTGTCTTTTCTCGCCGGCAACGCTTTCTATTCTTGTTTAGCCACCCACTGGTAATGGCGCCCACCTGGCCAAAGATGAGTTGTGGGTGTCCTTGTCGTCGTTGTCGTTATTCCCCCCCGAAGTAATTTGGCAAATTGGCTTTGATTTGCGCGCATTACATCTCCCGAATTGGGGTCATAACTCCTCCTCCGCTGCTACTGCGTTTTGATTTGATTTACGCATTTCCGGATCAAGGCGCACACACACATTACATTACCCATGATTGCTCTCTTAAACTTCCGCCTGGCTCAGGTCCAAAACCCATTCTCCCACGACCCGTGAGTGCCCCAGATTGTGATTGGATTGGACTCTCAATTGGACAGCATGCGGGCTCCTCTGAGTTGAGTTATAATCGCATCTATCTATGGGCCACACCAGGTTGCAGTGTAAGCTCCCCAACTCTTCTCCTTCGGATGACTCATTGCCCACTCCACACCAGGCTACGGTCTTCGGTCCTCAATCCTCAAGCCTCGTTGCCAACTGCCAAGGGAAACAAATGTTGGCATGTAAATGAAAAGCCGCATAAATGCCGGGGACACAAAACGGGTGCACAGGGAGAAATAAATCAAGTGGTTGGGACTATAAATGTGACACTAACTTTGAAGAGAGTTTCAGGCTTTTGTAGGTCACTTTAAATAGAAATTTTATGTTTTGTAAGGGCAACCAACTAATTACTCAACAGTATTCATTGCTGGTGTCCTTTACTATAGCTCTTTAAACTTTGTTTTCCAAGAAGTATATAGTTACACCTTTTAAAAGTCTGTACTAAGAACCCCTAAAGCTCCCTGCCAAGACTCTTTAAACTTAGTTTTCAAAGTATCAGAGCATCAGTATCCATTGGTTACCACCGTCAAGGCAACATTCCTGCATCTTTACCCTTATTAAGGTTCCTTGAACTTGGTTTCCTACAAACTGTAACCATAAATTTCTTGCCGTGCAGGCAAAGGGGTGTGTGCGCTAAGGTACTGCAGCATAAGGGGACACGGTTGTAGGAAGGGGCGTGGCAGCAAGGGGAGACAGCACCAGCAGGCGACAACGAACTTCCTGGCTGAAATGCGACTGAAACGGCGACTTGTTACTGCGATTGTGACTGCGACAAGGGAGCGAGTGCAGGGAATACCAATGAAACCCAGTCCAAGACGAAATTGCTGTGCATGTTGCAGTCCTCCTCCTCTGGCCCTCTCACGTCTTGGTGTGGAATGGATATGGAATCCGCTGCAGACCGGCCGGCCACTTGGATATTGCTTAATGGAGGAAGCGGCACCAGGAATGAAGGGTACCCAGAGAGCGAGGAGGGGTAGAGCAGAGTATGCCATGCCATGATGAGAATGGGAATGGGGATCAGAATGGTAACCACCGGGAACTGGGTACTGCGAAGAGAGCGGAAAGAAAAACCTGTCCAACGGCTTTTGCCATGCATACATGAATTTATTTTTGGGTTTGACGCTGCCGCGGCCACCGTGCCTACCAATTGCAGACAAATTGTTGCACCTCAATCAAGCAGCAGTTGCCGCCATCTGCTCTCTTCCGTCTCGACCGTTTTTGGTGCTGTGTCTGTGGCTCCGACTCTGAATCTGGCCGAGAGTTCAAAGCTTGCTGGCTCATAAAAGTCAAAGAAACTTGTTGATTAGATAAGGCGAAAGCAGCTAGCGAGCACGAGCATGAGCACTCGCAGTCGCAGTCGCACCAGTTGCCCATTTGGGAGCAGAGCAGAGCAATGGCTTTGTGAGCCACTTTCTCAGACGACGTTGGGGCCATGGCTTCGTCATCGTTCCCACTGCGTACTCTTGGAGCACAAACGCACAGACACACTCACAGATGTGGTCACTCGAATAGGAAATTATGGGAGGGAGTTATGAAGCTAATGCACCTTTTTCATTATTATTAAATAACTTTGGCGTGTAAATTGAAAATAATTCCAAAGGTCCCATTAACCTTAAGCAGTTGTAACGAAAAAGTTATTAGAAAATATGTATTTACCTTTAATTTGGCTTAGGTAAATTTTTAGTTACATTCATACAAATTCCTTAATTAAAATGTGTTGCAAGTTTTTCCTTTCTTCTGTGAAAAATATGTTTATTTTCTGGTAAATATATTTCTTTATCACTTGGTTTGCTTCTTAGTAAACTTTTGTTTGCTTCATTTAAGTTCATACATTTTTCACCGCTAGCCTTTCTTATCACACATTTGTGTAGCTTTTGTAAACAATTTTATGACTTTCCTTAAGTTTAATATTTTTATGATGTGTGATTTCCTGGATATACATATGTGAATGTAAACACACTGATTCACTATGAAAATGTAACAAAGAAAATATAAATGTTTTAGGAACATTGCAAAAAAAGCAACAATATTGCAACACCACTCTTTCGAGATTGCAAAAACCAATCATTTGTGTTTTTAAAGTTGTTCTCACAAGCCGTCTGTCTGTTGTTTATTTAATGTAGATATATATAAATAATTTTATTTATTTATTTTTTATTATATAAATACTTTATTTTTGATAAATTCTCTGCCTTTCAAAACTATTTCCCTGTCCCTGTCTGTTTGTTTGCTGGCTTCTATCCATCGGGAGAGTCAGTCTCGATGGCTCATAGCTACTCGGACTCGTATAGATGCGTCAGCGGCCAAGTGAACTGTGGACCGACTGCTACCAGTTGCTACTCCCCTGCTCCCCCATGATCTCCTCGTGGCATTGCAGTTAGTTGCAGCGCCAAACTGGGCCAACTTGGTCGTGGAGCTCTCGAACGTGAAGCTCGCAAAGCTTCGTCGGCTCATATGTAAATTTTCGATTATGAAACAGCATAAACATGTCTGCGTTTGACAGCCCAGAGAGAAACGGGGAGAGGAAGTGGCAGAGGGCCAGGGGGAACACACACTTTCACCAGGCAGTGTCAGCTGTGGCCCCTTTACTCTTCATCCTCCCTTTCCGCCGAAAAATAAGGCAAAACAACAAACGAATAAACTAAAAGAAAAGCAGCCAAAAGGCAAAACGTAAGAGCAATTAAATATAAATAACAGAGGGCACAGGCAAACATGTACAGAAATATATATAAGAGAGTGTGCCAGTGTGTAGAGCACTCCCCATTTATGTATTTTTCGTCTTTTGTTGTTAAATATTCAAAATGCAAAATGTCTTACACACAGCAAACAAATTGTTGCTGGTAAAGAAATATCGGTTTAGAAGTGTATATGTCTAGAGAAAGAAAAAAAATATATCACATAAAGTAAATAAATATAAATAATATATTATGTATGATAAAATGTTATAAAAAAAATTCCAATAAAGTATTTAACTTTATTGGAATTTTTTTTATAACATTTTATTATTTCTCTAGACATATACACTTCTAAACCGATATTTCTTTACCAGCAACATCAGGCGAGTTGATTTAGTCATGTCCGTCAGTCAGTTTGTCCGTTAACTAGAATAAAGACCTAGATCTCAGAGAATATAAGATCTAAATCTACCAGATAAAAGTTATTAAAACTAGAACCTTCTGCTTCTTCATTATAAATACAATTTTAAATTCAACTTAAGCTATCAAAAGTACTATGTTTTTCTCTCGCTGTCTATTCACTTCACTTTTCGTGTTCCTAGAATCAAAGCCAGTGGATTTGAATTGAATTGAATTGAATCTTTCCTAACTCGTTTAACATTTGATTTGAGGAAATAATGCTTGTGAATCGTTTATAGCTTTATAAAGGAAGAGGAAGAGAATCGACTGGTGGGGAGGGGGATCTGGGGGATTAGGTGATATAGATAGCAATATAGCAATGGACGAGAGGTGGGGGTGACCCGGCAATTACTGCGCAGTTTTGATTCACACAAACACTCTCAGAAAAGGTGTCGTCGTCGCCGTTGTCGTTGTTGTAATTGCTGTGGCTGTTGGTTCCTTTGTTTCGCTTTTTGTTTCCCCTTAGCCATCGCCCCACCCCCTGTCCTTCGTCCAACCCAAACCCCCCCTCTTGTGCGTTGGT